GTGCTTTTGCTTGCGTGATAACTGACTACCCATCATGAACATGGCGAGAAAGTCAACCACAAAGCAAGACACTCAAACCGAACCTGTGACAAGGACAGGCTTATGGATTGTAGTAAGCCCTAAACCCTAAACTCTACAAAATAGTAGGTTATGACCCCTTCAGTATAGGGTAGAACCCCTGAAACAGTAGGCTTTTGGATTCCCAGCTTTAGTTCAGGCTTCAGCAGATGCCTGCACGAGCGCAGAGGCCCCAAATCCAACTAACAACACTCTCTCATGGCTCCTTCTTTCCATGGCATTTAGGGCTTGGGGTTTGGGGTTCAGGGTTTAGATCGCAAAACTGTTCTGTTATGCTTCAAGGGCCATTGTACTAGGATCGCCCTGATACTGCTTCTTGGGACGGAGGTTTAGTAACGGAGGGACCCACAATGCAACACGTGCCCTGAAAAAGCACAACGATGTGTGGGAGAGGCCCGAAATTGGACGCACAAACCAACAGCCCCCCTAAACCCTAAACCCCTAAATCCTACCTAGACCCCCCAAGTGCCCTTTAAAGGGTTCCGATATTTCTCATTAAGATGTAATTCGGGGCTTACAATAAAGGGTAGTTGGGGGGTCTAGGTAAACCCTAAACCTCTAAACCCTGAACCCTAATCCCTAAAGGGGCCCCAGACCTAGGTACAAGTCCTCAGATGGCCGTCTGAACCCAAAACCGCGATTACACAAATTCCTACACATACCCGACGACCGCTCAATGAACCTCACAGACCCACCCCTAAACCCTAAACACAGACCCAACCCTGCCAATTCCTGAGACATCCCGGAGGCACGAGACCGGGAGCAAGACGGGGTCACAGGGCCGCGGCTCCTTCAGAAGCTGATATAGGGCGCTATACTTGGGTTTAAGGGGTCGTCATATTCGGGTTTCCCTAGGGATCTAAGGACTCATGGATTAAGGCTTTTTGGGCTCAAAGACCATACTATATAAGGCTTTTGGGCTATAGGATTTAGAACTCAAGATTTAGAACAGTGTTTGGGGAGGTTCATCTTAGCCAACGGTGAGAGTGATCACTTCCCCGCCCAATTTCAAGCCTCACCTAACTCAACACTTCCCGAAACCGATTTTTTTTGTGTGTGTGTGTGTGTCTGTGTGTGTGTGTGTTTGTGTGTGTGTGTGTGTGTGTTTGGCTGTGTCGTGTCTGTGTCTGGGAGGTCATAGCGGAAGTTTGGCAATTCTGTTTGAACGGATATTCGAGTTTTGATAAGGCGGTTCAGGTTTAACACATTATGGGTGATCTTATCGGGGTCGGGGTTAACACTTTCGGTATGTCGGGGTTTACACTTTCGGTATGGCGGAAAAGCAACGGCAGCAATCCAAGAAATTAGAACTCCAGGCTCCGTGAAGACGGCCGCATGACGATGCTGATGGTCTTTGAAGATTCTGTTCAACAACTGCAGTAATAAGGATGTTGATCAAGATGAAACCACGGCAAGCATTAAGATGACACACAGCCCAAAGCTTTGACTCAAGTAAAAGTGCCTGACTCCTTGGGGACGTCGGAGAACTGAAGAACTGGGAAAAATGGTTCGCGGCTCTGCACTACTCGAGTTTCAGCAGCAATTGGATGAGGATAAGAACTTACAGCGAGAGTTTTGCATAATACCGGCACTTCTAGCATCCTAGTTGCATGGCACAGCCCCAAACCCCAAAGCCCAAAGGAGGACGACGACTCACTCCCAATGGGGTCCTCTCACTGGTGGCCCGGCTCAAAGGAATTGAAGGCTGCTGAGGAGGCTCGGCCTTCACTTTCAGGAGCTAGCACTTAGTTTAGGGTTTAAGGTTTAGGATTTATAACCCTAAGGGTCCATGGACCCAAATGGGGTTCCTTTAAGGGGTGCTTCTATAGGTTCTATGAGGGTTCTATAAGGGCTTTAGGGTTTAGGGTTTAAGGGTGCATGTACCCAAATAGTATATATACTTTGGCCTTAAAGTATTCCATATATAGGTACATTGTGCCATTTGGGTACATGGACCCTTGGGGTGAGGGAGTGTTTAAGGTTTGTAAGGGTTGAGGTTTAGGCGGTTAGGGCTCAGAAGCCAGGTACGCTTCAGGGCTTGTAAGCGTATTGTAAGAAAGCTTCGATTTGAAGAGTATGTTAGAGTAGAAAGCGGGTTTGGTGCACAGACGTAGCAAATGTTTCGAAGCAGTGAGAGCAACACTGCAAATGGGGCGTCCGTATTCGAGGCCACTTAAATCCTAATCATCATCATCACGATCATCACCGTAAACCCAAAACCCTAAACCCTAAATCATCACCCGGCGAATTGCCGGCCAGCTTCTCCTGTCTGCCCGGAAAACTGTTCGGTAAGACTCCCAAACCCGACACTGTCACAGCAACTGGTGATCCATGAACTAGGGTTTAGGGTTTAGGGCCCATTCTTAAAGATCAGCGCAAGGGGCAGGGCAAATTGGGTGCTTAAGTTCAAAAACAGACGGGAAGCATGACACGACAAGCGTGCCGCCATGGGCCCACATGTCAGCAACCTGCTACTTAATTGTAGCATCTTAGGGATTGCATGGAACGCCCAAACTCTTCTTCGCTTGGATGACAATGGCCAGGCCTGCGCCAGCGGTGGCAAAGGTGGTACGGCAAGCTCTCTGGATGCGACTGGCACGGGAGGCGGCGCGGGAGTGGTTGGCCTGACCGCAGTCGCTAATGAAGCGGCAAGCACAAAATTTAATAGAATGTAATATAGTATAACATACCAGAATATTATACCAGAATACAATATAAATATAATTGAGGAAACTTACCAGAAACTTACACTTTGTCATAGGCCACTAACCGACGTGCATAAGCTGGAAGCAACAGCAAGACCCTAAGGGTCCGTGTACCTTGGGCGCACTGAACCTCTATGGGGAGTACTTTAAGTTAAGGCCAAAGTACATGCTGTTTGGGTACATGGACCCCTATATTCTAAACCCCATAGCCCTCATAGAACCCTTAAAGACACCCCTTAAAGAAACCTTATGTGGGCACAAGGACCCTTAGGGACACTGAAAACCAGCATCCGCTAGTCCTTACCAATTGCTCTCGGCCCTTGAGCAAGCACGTACACATGGCCTGGATGGCTCACTGCCAAGACCTCAGTGACAAGAAATCATGGATGTTAGGGTTTAGGATGTAGGATTTAAAGTTTAGGGTAAGGCCTCAATGATCAGAGCTCGAGGACATTATGTGGAATTCTAGGGAATTGCGGCTCTTCAAAGTTCAAGCACATGGAGCACAAAATGCGACTTTCTCACTTAGTCCCTGGCCCTGACAAAGGAAAGTATTCTTAAACATTGTGCAAATACAGAAAATTTATATATATATACATATTTATGTATCTGTATCTATATATATAGAGAGAGAGAGAGAGAGAGAGAGAGGCTTCGTGATTCGAATACGGTCTGGGGTAGATTACAGTATACTTATGTTAAGGAACCCTTGAGGAGCAATGGCGATTGGTGGTTCTTCAGGTTCAGGCTTCCATACTGAAAATCGCAGACCTTCCCCTTGAGAACCTGCACAAACACCGCAATCCTCAAACGCATGGTCCTCAGGCACTTTTGGGCAACTATAGACAGGACTCGAAGCCCTACATTTAGCCCTAACAAGACTTTTCTCTGATGCCTTCATACAGTTTCTGAGGGATCCATAAGGCCATTGGGTTCTTTGAGGCTTCATTAAGGCTTGCGGCATTTGGCGGTTCGCGCCTTTCAGAGTGGTCTTCCAAACAAGCCATGATCCCTGAACAAGCCCCTCAAGAAAAACCTGGCTGAATCCTCAAGTCCTAAAACCCCCGCCACAGTCTAGTCTCAAATCCTGAACCTTGAACCCTCCAACCCTAAGCCTAAAGCCTAAACCCTAAAACTTTATAAGCCCTTGTCAGGCCAAGACCTAGAAGCCTCCCAGTAAGGTACAGACTGTCGTCCCGTTGGCTCGCCAACTCGCTCCCCCGCCTCAGCTGCTTCCCATTGGTGCCTTAACCCTGTGGGATCCTATGGGGCTTGCTTTCAGGGTTCATAGGCATCACTGCATCAAGACCAGGCCGCACAGCCGTTGTCAATGTATCTCGCAGCAAGCACAACATGACATAACATAACAAAACTCCAGGTATAGTAAGGACCCTGCCCCGAAAATGGGAAGCAAAGGACTCCAGGCCTAAACCACAAACGGTGCTTTAAAGCCTTTGAAAGTTATTAGTAGGTAAGATCCTCTTAAGCCCAATAAGAGCAAATAAAAATAAATGTCCCAAAGCCCTACCTAGCAAAGACAAGGCTTTCGCGCGCTGTGGAGGCTATCGCGATGGCTGCGGGCAGTGAGCTGCTGGCCTTGGCATGGCTGCACAGCTTACCATGAGGGTCCAACTGTTGATGATATACATCCTGTATTACCTTAAGGACCCTAAACGACGAGAATTATGGTAAATTCCTGGTAGTGTAGTAAGTAATACAGGATTTATATCATCAACCGAAGTACTCCTGAATGTAGGACTTTGGGTTTCCTTTGAACAAATGGGAGCACGGGGTGCATGAAGCGCCAAGCTATCTAATAGGCTTCAGTGGCCGGGCTCACCCGTGTCGTGTAGTTCCCTGCCTGCTCAGCACCTGTCTGCCTTAGTGCCCTCGGCAGCCACCAACAGCGTAATGGCCCTCAACACAACCAAGCGCAGTTGCCATCGTAGTAGTGGTAGGAGCAGCGGCAGCAGTCTGGTGCCACAAGAGCAACAAAAACTAGCATCGGTAGTCCGTCTTCGTGCATGTAAGAGGCATGCGGAATCTTTGGCGGCTGTTCCTTGTCATTGTAATACCGCTGTGATCCCTGATCTCGAAACCGTGCACTATCCCTAAATTCGAACCTTCAACCTTCAGAATCAAACATAACATCACTAGGCCCTATCAAAGTATAAGACAACCCTGGTCTCCGCACAGCGTCACTTTTTTTTGCACAAGTCAGCTCGGTTTTCGTCTCTGCTGGACCTGTCCTTCGTGGGCTGCAGGCACGGGCTGTCAGCATTGCTTTATAGTAAACCCCATATAGTTGGAAACCGGATTAAGGCCAAATAGCGCTGGGATTCCCTCTACATTGCTCTTAAGGATTGAGGCTATGGGGTTTGCAAGTTTCGGGCTTCTACTCTAGAAGGGTTTCAAAAAGGCTTGCTTGAGTAGAGGTTTCACGAAGTCGTATACAGGTTACAAGCAGGGCTTTTTGTAATAAACCTTGCGGCCCCCGAAGGGATTCTACTTAGAGCGGCTAAGTTTCCGGTCCCGATTTATGATTTCTCTGAGATTCCCACGCCACACACGGTGGATGTTAAAGGGTGAAGTTAGGATTTGGAGAGTCCGAAGCTTGTCAAGACCAAAGGTGACACCAGTGACGATTCCTTGTTTCCGAGAAAGCTCAACGTCCACACATTGATTCACTTCCTCACAGGCACAAAGGAAAGCTAAAGGTCAATTTGCGACGCTTTCTAGCTCCTTTTTGTTTGTTTAACCAACAAACTCACTTCATCCTTCAGGCCCGCTCTTCTTTTAGTATGGCATGAAAACGCCCCTGCGAGTAGTCTTCCGGGCCCGGGTGCCATGATACAGACGTGATCGTCTCGGGCCATTCTGTTCTGATAAGTAGGATCACCACATTGGTCCTGAATCTGTCTCTGAGCTCCCAAAGACCGTCCAAAGGCTGTCATTCGTTGCCCAGACACGCAAGAGTGCGCGACTGATGTCACCGAACTCGTACTTGTCCTGCCGGTCACACTGTCCCAGGCTCGAAACCTTCTACACACCTTTTGGGTTGCTTGGCTGATCGAACATTTAGGGCTGCCTTTGACGGCATCAGTAATCCCCCAGCACCAGCAGCAGCACCAGCATCAGCACCAGCAGCAGCACCAGCAGCAGCAGCAGCAGCCGCACCAGCACCAGCACCGGCATCGGCACCGGCACCGGCACCACTACCACCACTATCACCATCACCACCACCATCCTGCCACTATGCCTCCTTCTGACACCGCTGAAACTATATGACTACAACGATGAGTACGACATCGCTTGGTACGACTACAGCGACGATGTCGATTGCCATAATGCTTGTCGGCTTGCGCCTCGTGCCAATACTACCAAGCGCTGTCTAGTGTCACGAGGCTTTCTGTGATACTACCAATCTGACTGACTGGCACGATTTCACAGTCACACATGCTTGTCATACTCTCACTCGAGCTGCCGTTCTGTTGTCAGGGGAAATTAGAAACCGCATTACTTCCAGCATTGCTTCCCCATTCACTGACCTCACAATGCCACAACCTGTCATTACCCTAAGCCCGGGAAACAACACTAGTCAACATCGCCATCATAGCCATAATAATGCAAGACCCTAAACCTCACACCATCCCGGCACTCCTTTCCGGTCAAGGAGGCCACGCTACGCTGGATCTGCGCTTTCGTCAGGTCACCAAGCACGTAGTCTTCGTTGCCTGGCGGCGAAGTGCTTGCACTAATTTGCATTGAAGGCGTATATGCGGTGGCAGGTGATTGCACTTGCGCTTGCTCTTGATCCTGCTGTTGCTGCTGCTGCTGCTGGTGCGGCTGCTGGCGCGCTTGCTAGTATCGGGATTTGCTGATGAAGGCATCTGATTCCTGTGGCTGTTGCGAAATGTAGGCCATAATTTCTTCTTACTGCGCTCTCGCGTTCAGTATCCTTCACCGATATGGTTTACACTACTTCTGAACAGCATCGACGGAATAGAAATGCAGAGGGCATGGCGCCTTTGCCCAGCAAAACTCCTTTGGCTCTGCGGTCAAGCTCCTGGGAGGCACATGAACTAAAACTAGGGCTTGGGGCTTATAGGGTTTATATGGTTTTAGGATGTTTTAGGCGTTTAGGGTTCGGGGTTCGGGGTTTTGGGAGTTTTATCACAAAGCCATGAGGGAGGCAAGGTTACGGCTGCAAGATTCATGTGCTAGCAACATGCAGGTCATGCCACCAGAATCTCAGTGATTTAAAGGTACAAAGATGTCCAACACTCCCGAAAAACACTGAAATGCCACTAAGCAACCGAGCTCCAAACTAATATTCCCCCTAAACGTTAATTACCCCGAACAACCCTGCGTATATTGGATCCTATAAACACTATAGTTCTTAAACTCATCGCCGGTCCTGTGCTACGGCTCCGGTGAGCTTGGATGCTGCACGATTGCCTAGCTCGACCTCGACGCTCGTGGTGTACCTCGCCAAACGGATCCCAAGTAGCTACTTCTCAGGGTCTTAATGATTATCATAGGGTTCTGGGCTCCTTTATAGTCTTCTGAATTTTAGTAAGGAGCCCTAAGGAATAATACTGGGATGTTTGAGGCTTGTACGTTACCTCGACACCCAAATAGTAATTTCTTCTTTTTCTTGTTGCTACTAGTGGTACAATTCTGGATCCTATTCTTATTCTACTGCTATACTACTGCGGTTAAAGCTTGAATCTTGTCATAATTATTATGTAAAGTAGACCCTTTGGATCTGTTTGGCCAAATCGTGCGCTGCTTCATTGAGGCTTGAGACGAGATCGTGGGTAGCAAAACAAACTGCGCAAGTTTCATGGGACACCCTCGCACAGTCTGAACATCTTCAACAAGGGCTCGAATCTCCAACCATCTCAAAAGGGGACTATACAAGGGTTACAATAAGAGACTTCAACAGAAGCCATCCGCGACCAGGGATAGTGGAGAGGACAAGTGGAAGTGACAGGTCCGAAACCCATGAATGCTCAATGAACTGTTCGTTAAGTTCGAAATCCTATAATCCTTTACCCCCCATTCCTAATATAACGCTATAAATCCCAGTCGACCCACAAATGGTCCAAAATCCTATTCAAGCGCAAACTCGAAACGGCCAGACTCTACAAGAAAGGGTCACAGGTTGAGGAGCAGCTGTACAGGGAGAAGATGCGCCACTGGAGTTAAGCCAACTCCTCACCGGGTGTAATATAGGGGCCTTAATAATTGGAATAGGGTTTTGGGGCCCATGAGACTAAAATTATATTAAAGAACCCCAAAAATAGAAAAGGTAATCATTAAGACCCCTATATTAGGGCTTCTGTGAGGGGTTTACGGCATAGGGCTGCTAGGGTTTAAGGTGGGCCAGCGTTTCGAACATGGAACGGAGGGTTCAGAAGTCACGGTGTGGAGTAGGGTCAGCAGGGCCTTTTTCGGCTTGGCGCTTGGGCTGCCTCATGGCACAGGCTGCAGTACTTAACGGATCCTGGGACTTCGTAACTAGGGTTAAGTTGGGGTAACTTATAACTGCTTATAACCCCAATTCAGGTACTTATAACCTTACTTACTAAGTCCCATGATCCTCCAAGTACTCTCCGCATGATGAAGGCTAGGTTCGATGCGTTTCGGGCTTAGGTCTGGCTTGGGCTCTAATATTGGGGCCTGAATGATTAGAATAGGGTTATGGGGTTCATTATACTATAATTACACTAAGGAACCCTAATTGGATAATATTGGAAATTATTTAGGCCCCCTTATTATGTGCTTTGTCGTCTCCACGTCCTACCCTACTTAATCCTCTCATGACTCCCTACTAATTCGAAGCGCTAAGTCGAATTCGATAGAGGCCTGAAAAACTAGCACTACTGTCCCCTGGTAGTCCTTAGCTCGTAGAATCCTTTCCAAGCCAACAAGGCCCCAGGACCCCAAAAAACCCCTAAGTTTCCTGAAGGAGCCCTTTCAAACCCTCACACGAACCCTAGTCTAGTCATCAAAGTGCCCTTCAAGCAGTAGTCCCTAAACCTAGACCCCAAGCTCGGAACTCCAACCGAAAACTAAAACCCTAACTAGCCGAATAGGCCGAATAGTAAAAACCAACTCAGAACCCTGATAAATGTAGAAATAGTATGCCCAAGTATTGCTAAACGAACTCTCCAGATAAGCCCCTCAATAAAGTGTAGTACTCCTTACAATCTCTCTTGTATGTAATACCTTATAGACAGGCACTCGCAAGCCCCGAAGCCGTACTCGAAACCCTGCAGCTCCAAGCGCGACGACGGTCGTCAGTAGAAGGCGTAGATCCTGCGCGGCATTGACGGAGGACTCTAATTCAGCTTCTAGTGTTTCATGGCTTGGGGTTCAGGGGCAGGGTGTAGGGTTTAGGGTTCACAATCGGTTTCAAGTTCCAGTTCTTGCAATTTCCTTCTTACTTTGCAGTCAGTTGCTGGTCCATGGCGTTTTTCGGTATAGGGCTTTGGAGACTACGGGCTAAGGGGGGGGGGCAGGGAGGTAGGAGTGGGGTGAGGTTGGAGTACGTATCGTACTGACCGGTGTTTGCTGTTTAGGCCTTGTCATGAGCCCTAAACCCCATCTCCTGAAGCCTGCATCCGATCTGTATGGGGGTACTTAAAGGATCATGGGACCTAGTAACCAGGGTTATAATTAAGGTAACTACTATTATATGTACTTATAACCCCAATTAGGGTACTCATAACCTTACTTACTAAGTCCCATGATCCTCCAAGTATAGTCCACAGGCGCCCCGATGGCCAGAAAAGAGCTTTGAGGTGTCATGCAGTATACCCGCTCTCGGAACAGAACATTTGCCAACAACTCTCAAGGAATTGATCATCAACTTCGAAATCGCAAAAATCTTGTGCCCTATGCCAAGCACCCAGAGCCAATACCCCTTAATTGAGGATCTGGCTTAAATTATAGAGGGCTTCATTTTATGATTTAAGATATATTCCTTAATTAAGGGGTATTGGGCTCTCTGGGCACCTACTTAAACTTTGGAGGACGCCTCTTCATCCACCACATCCGACTCTTTGACTCTCCTGCAAAGCAGATGCCCGGGGTGGCAAGAAATATTCAATCTTAGCACCGGATCCATAACCCTTAGGGTCCAAGCACTCAAATAAGTACATTGGGCCTAAAGTCTATACTTTTTCGGTACATGGACCCTTAGGGTAAGGATTTGATTAGGGCTCTATGTCGGTTTAATCACAAGCGTTTCAGAAGGGCGCTATAAGGAGCTAAGCGACATGCCTCCAGGAAGATCGTAAACTTGAGCTATTGCAAGCAAGGTCTCAATGAAAAGGGATGTTGAGATGAATAGTTTACAATTACGCAGCTTGTAGACCCCCGAAACCTATTCAAACTTCCGTGCGGGAGCCGGCTGACCCCGTTACTCGACAGTCATGTCGGGAATCTGTGGTTCGGTCTCCCGGGGGTCGGGCCATTGGGATTTCAAGTTCCATTCAAAGCCTCCCAGGTCATGGCGTTGTTCAAAGGCTATGTGCATTGCTCAGGCTTATGGGAGTAGATTGAACAAACATGGACAGCACAACTCCGAGTTATGCGATATCTGACATGACTGACGATACGGCTGCACGCAACTCACTTAACCCTAAAGCCCAAGCCGTTTCTTTGCACCCTAAACCTTGAACCCCTAAAGCCTAAACTCTGATCCCTTCAGCTCGTGTTGATTTCTTGTTCGGGGGCGGGTGGTTGTCAAAATTATGGTCCCTTTTTGGGCACCCAAAATATGAGGTGCCGTATTATAATAAGGACCCAAAAGGGGACTCTAATATTGACAAGCACCTACATAACTACTATCCTGACACCGAGCACCTAATTATTGGGTCCTTTAGAACCTTGGGACTAAGCGATGTAGTTTAAGTTGCCATAATTTAGGGTTCCTTTAACTGTTCTAGAAGGGTTCTTGTTAAGGACAACCACCTACATGCTTTCGAGGCTCCAAGAGCCAAAGTCCGGAAGAGAAGAGCCTCGAGGCAAAACCGCCAAACCGGCAGCTTTGGTTAACCACAAAACCTACGCCTAAAGCGGTGCAGGGGTTTGGGGTTTAGGGGATCCTACAAGGGATCCATACGGGTACTATAAGGGTTTAGGGTTTAGGGGTGAAACCATAGGCTCCATAGTAGTTCCTTTTTGGGATTACCTTATAGGATTCTGAATATGAGCCCCAAAAAGGAACTACTATGGAGCCTCTAGGTAAACCCTAAAGGCACTATGAAAGCCTGAATCATACAAGAAGGCAAAATGCCCAAGATCTATAAACAGCTGCTGCTACTACATACTTTTGTTGTCCAGGCCCAGGTAGACGCTCCCTTAACCCCAAATAACTTACCTTATTATGGACTTATATATAGAAATCATAGTAGGAACCCTAAAACAGTAGGTTATATGGGGTGCAAGTAGACCCTGAAATGTTGTGATTTTGCGACCCTGAGCCCCAACTGGGCCGACACCTCGCGATCTCGCGCGAAATGTCCCCAAACTCGTAGGAGTCTTTGCCCGTGAGTTTGGAAACCTGGAACCGCAAGGGTTTAGGGATTAGGGTTGCGGGATTTAAGAAGCTCGGAGAGCGCATGTTGCATAGTCTCTGGACAGATAGAAAGCTAGATAGACAGACAGATCGATGGATAGATAGGACGACATTGCGTGGATGGATAGGTAGACAAACAGGCAGAGACAGACAGACTGTTTTATCATTCATACATGGGTACGAGCGACAATTGAAGGCTTACCGTCTCCATTGCATGCTACCTAGTGGTGGCGGCATGAGGTCAGGACCATGTTGTGAAGAGCCCGAAGTTGAAATCTCCAAGCACGCAAACATCCGAAAACCAAAACGGTTTAGGGTTTAAGGGTTTAAGGTGTAAGGGGTTAGGGTTAACGGAGCACCACAGCATGGCATCTGTAGCTAGGAACTCAATGGTTCTGCGGGCAACTGGGCTGCTTTCATGCTGCTCCTCACAAGCTGCAGGGGGACCAAGACGCGGACATCACAGCATCACCAGGCACCGACCAAATACTGGAGCAGCCCCAAGAATGATCGATTTGACAGACGCCCTGCCAGCCCTCGAATCGAAACTATGAGGGGACTTGCAGCAGAAGAGGTTTCCCACCACAGACAGAGCAACGCCTAAACTCCAAATCTCAACCCTCTCAGTCCTCACCCCGTCGTCCCCTAAACTGGCCTTAACCGTAGAATTGTGAGATTCAATCCTGTAACTTCTGGGATATGTCCAAAAAAATAAAACAAAAAAAACACGTACACCAGCCAGTAACCACAACAAGGAACAAAAAACAACACACAAACCAACAAAAAAAACAACAAAAAAGGGCCGGTGGAGGCTTTCAGCTTTTTTGTGCTTTTGTTTGATGTGTTTTTGCTTTTTTCCTAGAGAAAAACAATCAAACCAAAATAACAGCAAACAACAAGCAAAAAACACAAAAAAAACAACCTCCCCACAGTTGTGTGTTTGTTGTTTGTTTTTGTTGTTTGTGTTTTGTTTTGTTATTTTTTATGATGTTTGTTTGTTGTTTTTAATCTTTTTGTTGATTTCCAGAGGTTACAGTGGTTTGAATCTCATAACCGTAGAACCTACATTTTTACGGACTTATGAAAAAGAAATCATAATAAGGAGCCCTAAAAAGGTAGGCAACTCAGGGTTAAGGTATACACCCTAAACCACAGCCAAAGGCCTGCTGCTTTGCTTGCGTGTCCAGGTACTTACTCAAATCGCCGAGCTCGTAAACATCCTTGCCACGGCTCGGGGCTGCGGCTTTGCGTAAGTGCCGGTGCTGGAGTACCGGTAGAAGAAGAAGTTCTTATCGGTAATAAGCTGGCAATCGTCGCAACAACCTGGCAATAATCAGTCACAGTACACGTAAACGAACAAACCGAACTGAAACCTGAACCATGAAAAAATCCACCCAACACAGGCTCTGCGAACGCAAAGAGGCACTCCTTGCCCGTCACTTTGCAGACTTCCTGAGCTCCAGGAATCAAACTACTCCTGGATTCAATGGGTTCAGGGTTTAGGGCCCACCTGAACCCACAACTAAAGGCGCACAACCTTGTACGGAGCCCTACAAAGGCGTTCCGATGGAGGGTTCCAGTTCCGGTCAATGATTGTTAGACTGGGTTGTGCTCTAAACCCTTTGAAAATTATTTATGAATAGGTTCCCTTTATAAGGAAATAAGCAACCCAGTAGAGGACCTTAGAGGATGCCACTCGCAGGTCATTCCACACGGTTCAGGGAAGTGGGTTTAGGGTTTAGGGATTTAGGGTTTAGGGTTTAGGGATTTAGGGTTTAGGGATTTAGGGTTCAGGGATTTAGTGATCTAGGGGTGCTTGCAAAGCTGTGTCAAACCGCTAGCGCATTCTGCGATGTGCAGAAGAACAAAAACACCGATACACCGTGAATCGCTTGATGATAATACTCGCCGTGATGCTTCCGCTGCCGTCCTTAACCCTGTACCCAGAAACCCGATGAACTGAATCGCACATGGGGGTGGCAGTTCTACAACAGCGTCCTGTCACAGGCCCTATGACAGACACCAGGAAGCAGTAGCCTAACACAGCCGAGAACACCGAAGCTCAACTGAGGGAGTTAAACTCCAGCATTCAAGAACCGCTCAATCAATCCAAGCCCTACCCTAAACCCTGAACCTCGAACCTTCTGAAACCCTAAACGCCAAACCGTAAGTGGAAAGCCTTAAACTTTAAACCTAGAAGTTTTAAACCCACACCCGAAACCCTAAACTCCAAAAACGGTGATGCCGGAGGCTCGGCTTTTGCCTTCGCATCCAGCGACCGGGTGATGTCACCAAACTCGTAGCTCTCCTTGCCTCTCTCGGTCTGGATGGCTCTGGCTTTAGGGTATAGGGTATAGGGTTTACTTGGAGGTTCATGGGTGGGTATCAGTGGGGTTATAAGTCCCCTAATATAGGTTATACCCAGAAGTTATCCTACTTATAACCCCACTTAAAATACCCATGAACCTCTAGGTAGTGCTTAAGGCTTACTTGACGCAGGGGTTGCGAGTGTTCGTCAGACTTCGGTGGCTCGGGACGTCCGGCTTCGGGGTTGGGAGTCTGACGGCTTGCGAGGTTACGCAATGGATCAGGGGACTTAGCAAGTCAGCGTTGATATGCCAGAAGTATAGTTATAACTAGAGTCGCCCTAAGTAGAGTACTCATAACGCTACTGGTAACCTACATACTAAGTGCCCTTATCCTCGATGTGAGGCTAGCAACATCAAAACGGTGCCTTAACAATCATAATTGGAAGAGGTTTTGGTGATATATGGAGCTATGAGGGGTGCTCGTCAGTTACTATCTCGGGCATCAGGGTTGAGGGCTCTGTGTGGCAAGCTTCGCTTCGACCTTTGAGGATGGGAGATGACCCGTAAGGTGCAAAAAACACATTGCAACTAGGGCCCCGACAAACTGTAGAACTGTAGGACCTTTGTAGAGTTGTGAAACCGTTGTAGAATTGTAGAACCTTTGTGGAGATGCTGCAACTTTGAATCTTGTTGCAAGGATACCGAGGGTGTTGGAAGCTCTTCGCGACATATGGGAGTTTCCGAAAGTAGGAGACCCTAATACAGTACCCTAAATGGCTCCTTCTTTAGAAGGATCCCAAAATGAGGTACCCCTAATTTTCTGAAACTCTCATACTTGGGCGAGAGCTCCTGTGAAGTTGCCCACAGCTTCCTGCAGCTTGCCGCCGACGAATCTGGAGAGGTCACCTCGGGCTTTGGGTTTTGGGCTTTCAAGGGTTCCTAAACCTTAAACCGACTTAGGGTTTAGGGCTTTGGGGTTCAGGGTTTATATAGATCCCTTCAAAGGGACCCTTAAAGGAACCCTTATACTAGGCTGCCCGAATCAGAAGGGCTCCCTTTTTGGTATTGGGGAGCTGTATAAGGAACCTAGGACTACAAAAAGGGAATAAGGGTAGCACTGGGCATCCTAGTAAACCTTAGACCGACCCTGAACTCATCAGAGCCCTACAGGGAACTCCAGAAAGTTGGAATATGGTTTCATGGTAGGATACCCTATAATTTACCATAGAAGGGTTAGGATAATCCTATTCCAACTTTCTGGCGTATACCTTAGAACCATGAATCCCAAAGCGCCCCAAACCCTGAGTCCCCAACGCTACACCCCGGAGAAGGAAGGTACCCAGAGACTCCAATACCCCTTAATTAAGGATTATTCCTTAATTCATATTAGGGATCCTACTATAACTTAAGGTATATTTCTTAATTGAGGGATATTGGAGTCTCTGGGTATTAGAATTCTAGGATCCATGCAAGATACCCCGGCCCCCCAGAGCACGAAACTTCGGGTTTGAGGCTTGGCAGCTTCAGAGTTGAGCTAATGTAGTTGCCTGAATAATTTGAATATAGGGTTTTGGGGCCCATTATACTTTAATCATCATAAGGAACCCCCCCCAAAAAAAAAAAACAACAAAAATAGCACAGGTGATTATTATTAGGGACCCTCTAAGAGCAGGTCTCGGAACCACGGGGCCCGGAAGTCAACCCTAAACCCTAAACCGTGGGGGACTGCCGGGCTTCAGGTCGGCAGCCTTTGCGCTCTACTTACCATTTGCTTAGTAGGGACGATATTTATGGGGTTAGGGTTCCTTTAAAGGGAATTATTAAGGTCCCTTTAAAGGGCTCCATAAGGGTACTATGGAAGGCTGGAAGTAATAGTAGCTATAACTATAATTGCACTTCATTCCTCCATTCCCTACAAACCCAAGGTAAGTCTCTAGGATACCCAGTAACCTAAGAATAAAAAGGTCTCTCTTTTTGGTATTGGGTAACTTTATAAGGAACCTAGGACTACAAAAAAGGGAATAAGGGTACTAATTACTGGGCATCCTAGGTCTAAGGCTGTGTGGGGTGAGTACTCAAGTTGGTGAACGGACTTCTGTCTTAGGTGACAGGAAATCTCCCTTAGAACAGCATGACAGGGGTCTTTAGAAGGCGCACTTAAACTATCAGATTACGATTCGGGAAAACTAAGAGAGATCAGCGTCTGCTCAGAGATCCCAATAGCCCTTAATTGCGGAACATACCTTAAATTATAGGAGCCTTCATCTTATGGTTTCAGGTATATTCCTGAATTAAGGGATATTGGGATCTCTTCGTGGTTAGGAGCCTAGCCCCAAGCCCGATAGGGCTACGAACCCCAAGCCACATCTGCTAAAATCAGCAGGCTCCAAACCCTTCAGAGCTTACGGTAGAAGACCAAGAGGTGGGAACACAATAGCCTCAATCCTTAAGACTAGTGTTCTGGGAATCCCAGCACTATTTGGCCTTAATCCGGTTTCCAACTTTATGGGGTCTACTGTTTGGGTTAGTTGGGGGATTACGCTTTAGTTTAGTGTTGAGTTTATTTACCTAAACCCTAAACCCCTAAACCCCAAACCCTAAACCCCTAAACCCTGAACCCTAAACCCTAAACCGACAGGGCCCTCGTTTGGATTCTCTCCGGACCCAAGGCGAGCGGCCAAACTCGTACTTGTCTTTGCCAGTCAACTTGTTGATGAAGAGATCACCTAAAGGGAACTCCAGAAAGTTGGAATATGGACTAATGGTAGGATCCCCTATAATTTACCTTAAAGGGGTTACGATAATGATATTCCAACTTTCTGGCTTCTACTGTAGGTTGATCGGGCTACTTTCTTCAGGATCCTTATTATACGGACCTCAAAACAAGGTACCACGTAGTGGCGCTCGACCTCCCTCCTCAGTCGCAAGGTGACCCGAACCCCAGGAACGATGCGCGCCCTCGTGCTCCACCATGGTCAAGTGGCTTAGAGCTTAGAGTTTAGAGTTTGAGGTTGAAACGAGAAGGGTTTCCTGTTGAACCGGGCTAAGGTCCATAATGGCATCTTGCCCACCAAGAAGATTCCTACTTTAACAAAGGCGTGCAAGACTACGCATATTCGACTTTATGAGGTGCCAGTGATGATATTCTTTAAGTGTCCATGTACCTAGACTGAACCTGCCCAGGCCCTATAGAATACTGCTTTCTAACCCAAACTGACCAAAGCCTAAACTGTCTTCACTGCTTAGCTGTATGTATGACACAACACATGTTGTAGGGGCCTGAAAGAACTGCAATAGCGGGTCGGGGTACACTATACCAGGACCGAAAACAACCAACCCAAAAGAATAGTATTACTAAGTACTCAGACCCCTATATCAAACCCATAGTTTCTGAGCCACTTTCGTTCTGCACCATGCCCCGCCTTGCTCGAACAAGCTTCTGAGATACGCTAATAAGACCTGAGATTGGGGTCATGGAGGAAGTTCTACTATACCAAGTATAGAAAGCGGACAAAGAGGCATGCATCATACCAAATATAGATTCACACAGACAAGGGTGTAGAGTCTAGAGGAATGAACTTCCTAAGAATTGTGGAGTCTGAGTCTAAGCCTCTTCTATGGTTGTTGATAATGGGATTTTAGGGTGTATTAGGTTACACATATTTCAACAGGGAGCTCGCCGACAAGCCGTCCCATTCATATCTCGAAGCCTTTCTGCCCAGGCGCCAAACTGATAGCCACGTTTTTCGTCTTTGCCCTCTGCGTTTGTGCCTCGGTCGTCATGAGAATAGCAGCTAACCCCTAAGCCATCCTGAACCCTAAACCCAATGGCCTCAACCCACCCTAAACCCCCTTAACCCCAAACCTTATAGCCTCAACCCTAAAGACCCCACGTGGAATTTCTGGCTTGTAGTTTCAAAAGACCGGGTCGTTGAGCTCAAATTTGACCTAAACCGAGCTTGATTGCTAGTTTTTGGGGGGTACTCTATACTATATCTACAATAAGGAACCAAACAGAATAACACCACGGCCACAAGTAGCAATGCTAGTAATTCCTCCGACTGAGTATTACCCTCGTTATTTGTTTTGCCGAAGCATCCACTAGTAAGGCGGGGAGGAATCCTTTTCGTCGTGGTTCGGAGTGTTCTTGCGATCGCTCAGGTTTCAGAGTTCGGGGTCGAGTCTCGTGAGGCTGCCCAGCGAATCTTGCGACATGGAGTGCAGGATCTGTTTTCGCTCGAGAACATGAGAAGGAATAAGGCTGCCGAGTCCCCAAAACCCTTCCGGACAACTGAATCCCCAGCCGCGCACAATACGGACCTTAATAATTCAAATTGGGCATTGCATTATCCGTTTTGTATAGTTCCATCCAGGAAGCCTGAACAACCATTTTGTTCAAGCCCCCATATACGTCTTTAAGAAACCCCGATCCTTGAAAGACGCCTCAAAAGCTTTTGTTCAGTCACAAAGCACAGTCTGGGTTCAGGGTTGAGGAGTTGCCCAAAGAGCCCAATACCCCTTAATTAAGGAATATTGCTGAAATCATAATATGAGGCCTTATGTAATTTAAGCCATATTCCTTAATTAAGGGGTATTGGGCTGTCTAGGTGAGGACTTATGGGGACTTACACCTCCCCTCCCAAATCGGGTCATGCGCTTGCCTTCGGCACGTCTTGGCAAAGAGCTTACGGCTCGGCGTGGCTGTGCTGCCTGGGCATGCCTAGAGAGCCCAATACCCCTTAATTAAGGAATATGGCTTAAATTCTATAGGGCTTCATATTGTGATTTCAGCAATATTCCTTAATTAAGGGGTATTGGGCTCTCTGGGTGGGTCTAGAGGTCCTAGGGGCTCCATGCATACTACCATATGGAATCAGGGCCCCTGAAACAATAATGAGGATGGTTTTGGGGGACCTAATTTCATAATGGTAGTATATATGGAGCCTCTGGGATGTATAAGCTTTGAGACTTCCCCGTTGCTTTCAACATGTTTAAGAAACAAATCGTTGTTTCACAAGGCTTGTACGGCTGCCCTGATCGGCCGGATCTCTCATGCTGCGAAGAAAGCAAGCATGAGTTTTAAACATGGCCCTCACCAGCATTGCTTATCTGGGCGGACCCAGTCCGACACCTCTCTTAACAGAGCCTCGGTGCCTGCTGAATGTCCATAACCAATGTGCCTAGACCTACATACAGGTATGCCGACTTTCCCAACATGCCAGAGTTTAACGAAGTCACATGACGGCCAAACCTTGCCGGCTGGCCTTCTTAGGGGCCGAGTAGCCTGGCCCAAAAAGGGTTAACTTTATCATTATGGGTAGGGTTACACAAAGCTTAAGGCTCCCGGAAGCCTCATGAAAATCTTTACAGGAGCCCTTATAGAACTTATAGTAATCCTGAAATAAAATGCATTGTAGTAACCCTGTCACGATCCCATGTAGTCATCCTTAAGGGAGCCCCTAAAACCCTAAATAATACAGAAGCCCTTATCATGATCCTTCAAGGAACACCTAAACCCTAAAGCAGGAGATGGCAGACAAGGATTGCCCTAAAGCCCTAAACCGTATATATGGGAGCCCTTAAATGTGATCCTTAAAGGAACCCCTAAGCCCTTAGGCAGTACAAGGACATAGCAGTTTCCACCAATAGGAGACCCTAATATGGCACCCTACATAGTAAGTTTTTTTTTATCAGGACCCCAAATAAGGTAACCCCCCTCCCTAATTTTCGGAAACCCCCAGATGGCAAACAAGACGCCAAGAAGGCTTCTAGTAACCTTTGCCCTGAAACCCTGAAGCGTAGATGAGCCCCTAAAGTGATCCTTAAAGGAACCCCTAAAGCCCTTAAGGAGATGGCAGACAAGATGCCAAGAAGGCCGAAGACTGGACTGGTACGGGTCGAGTGCAAGAAATGGGGAGGGATGATAGCAGTACGTTGCTTTCAGCATCTCATTTTTTCCAGAAGACTTCAAGACTTGAATCGGCGCCCTGATCGGCCGGATCTCTATCGTTAATGGCCGTGGAGAAAGCAAACAAGAGTTTTAACCCTGGCATCACCAGCATCGTCTGTCTGGCCGGACCGAGTCTGGGTCCGACACCTCTCTTAACCGAGCTTCACTGCCTGCTCAATAGATACAGGGTTTAGGGATTACAGTTTAGGGTTTAGGATTTCAGTGACCGACGTGCCGAGGCCTACATACACATGGCTACAGAGTATGCCGACTTTCCCAAGATGCCAGAGTAAAACGAAACCAGATGACTACCACAGCTTACAGACTGGCTATCTTAGGGGCTTAGTAGCCTAGCCCGAAAAAGGTTCACCTTCTAACTTGAATTATGGTAGGGTTCTACGAACCCCAAACTGTTGAAGATCCCCTACTCAGCTACAAAGGTGTTGACCTTCTCCTAGTTTAAGGTTTATAGGGCTTATAATGCATGTAGGAGCCCTTATAGTGAACCTTGAAGGAACCCCTAAGACCCTAACGCGTACGGGAGCCCTTTTCAACGATCCTTCAAGGAACACCTGAAACCCTAAAGCAGGAGATGGCAGACAGGACTCCAAGAAGGCTTATAGTAACCTTTGCCCCAAAGCCCTAAACCGTATAGGAGCCCTTTTAGCAAACCCTAAACCCTAAAGCCCTAAACACTATACCCTAAAGCCCTAAAGCCTAAACTCCTAAACCCTAACCTCCTAAACCCTATAAACCCTAAACCACCCGAAAGAAACCCTGAAACAAGAAATGGCAGACAAGACACCAAGAAGGCCGAACGCCCCGCCAGGATGGCGAGGACCTGAGACGAAGATGTTCTTGTTGTTTTTTTGAGGGCTCTTTTCCACCTGTCCAGCAGCTAGAATTCCGTTACCAGGAGGAGCCTGTGGTTGGGGCCTCAGGGTAAATTAACCTGAAGATGTTCCCAGCTCAGGGACTCAGGGATGCTGCAATTGGGGGTTATAGGGTTTAGGGTTTGGGGTTATAGAGTTTAGGGTTATAGGGTTTCGGGTTTGGGGTTATAGGGTTTAGGGTTTTGGGTTATAGGGTTTGGCGCTCTAGGGGTTGGAGTTTAAGGTTTGGGGTGTCGGGTCTCATAAGTTTAGTCTAATCAAATACAAAGCTAAAACGATCAACAAGTGCCGAGAGACCTCGGTCACCAGAATTGGGTTAGCGTAGATCGGCAATGCACTGCATACACAACATAGACTATGATTCTATGATAGTACTGGTATATTCCTCCATTTTAGGGGACTTCGGGAGACTGATAACCCCATGTTCCGGCCGTACTTGCGTTTCGGCTCTTGCTACAAGTTTAAGTAAGGCTGTGCCTACCCCAGCAAGTCCAGGTATGGTTCAAGAAGCGTCCTGGCTACAGCTTCTCAGCCCGATTGGGTTTCGGGCTTAGGGCTTAGAGGGTTTGGGGATTGGGGTTTAGGGCTTCGGGTTTAGGGTTTCGGGTTTAGGGTTTCGGGTGTAAGGGTTAGAGGTGAAGCCAAAGCCCTGATGCTTGAAAGAAGCCTTACCCAAACCCTAAGCCTTACCTTAACCCTGAAGAGCCTACGTTAATGAGGACTTATATAAGGAAATCATAATAGGGAACCCTAAAAAGGTCTGTTATTCAAGGGTTAAGGTACTCCTTGGGAAAAGGCGCCACTGTCTGCCAGCGTCGCAAAGTCCAAGGGCGATGCGGCCGCATGGCGATCGGGATCTTCCCACGAAGGTTGTAATTGAAAGTTGTTCTTAAGTAAGGTTTAGGGTTGGAATAGGAAGGAAAACGGGTGCTCATGCGACTTTGAACTTAGAACGCAATTTGGAATGCTGGGCCTGTGCATTTTGATTTTGGAGGCGCTCGTACTGGCTACTGCTCCCGCACAGAACTTAGGAGTTCTCATCTACGTGTAGCTACAGGACTTAGGCTTACAGGATTTAGGGTTGGAGCTCAGGGTGCGTGTGTGTGTGTGTGTACACTGAGCTACTACTCTCAGACAAAAGCCTGGTCCTTGAGGTGAGCTCTTGGCTTAGGGCTTACAGGGTTCAGGGATCAAGACTTGGGGTTTAAGCTCCATGCGGCTCTTTGAGGCTTTAGAGTTTAGGGTTGAGCGGTCTGAGGGTTAAAGGCTTAGGGTTTGCGGCTTGGTAGTTGGATTTTGAAGCAAAAGCTGCGTGTATGTTGCTGAGCCAGCTATATCAAGAAGAAGCCAGAAACTTGACTGCTTCGACACCCAAACTCTTAGCCTTGAGCCCTATAAAGCCAAAACTCCCTAGCTCAAAACACTGATGATAAACAAACGTGCTCAATGGTTGCAGTGCATCCAGATGCAGAAGCTCAATGCTAGGAGGTTGAACTAGTGTCTCGAAATGAATTAGAAGCCTCCCTCATGCTCTCCATGGGCCCCTAAAGTGAAACACCTTTGTTAGGATCATCCATTTTATGGTTAGGACCCTGTGTAATGCAGCCCAAGGCCCTCTTCGACGACTCTTTCGCGGGTTCTTGGGGCATGTGCAATATAAGTTAGAAGCTGCCCCCACCCTGTAATAGTGACCATAAGGATTATATTAATATTATATTAGGGCCCTATTATATTCCTATTATACCACTATTACAGGGTGGGGGCAGCTTCTAAAGTATAAGTTTCAAGATGGACGAAGCCCTAAGCCCTAAACCCTGAAACTTCTCGTCATAGCCAACATTCGACAAACAAACCCAAGTTCCGCGCAGTGGAATGCGCTTAGACAAGAAAGGTGGACTCTCCATCTGGTCTGGTATGCTGAGTTGTTTTAGAGGTACCAAGCTCTTGTGCAGCCCTCCTTAAAACACAATCACAACCTCAAACCCTAAAACCCGCAAAGCCTGAAACCCTCGGCACTCTAGGCGCTAAAGCCTCATCTCTACAACCAGAACCCCAAGACCCAAAACACAATGAAACCCAGCTGCCAGAATTGTCACAGCAGAGCCATCTCTCAGTCCGTGGCTGGGTGCGCTGCTTCCCCGCCGCCTCCGCAAGGTCTCTTTGAGGTCTACGGTTTAGGGTTTAGGGTTTCTACCTCTAGTCTCCATTGCAGCCCCTTTTTTGGTTAGCCAGTTTTATACATGTAGGATCTTATGAGGTAACCCCCTAAAAGGAACTACAATGGAGACTATAGGTATAGGGCTGAGGCGTCCTAGGGTTTAGGCTCTAAGGCCAAGGTCTCGTGGCATCTAGCTAGAGTCCATAACCGTAACGCGAAGGGTCCATGTGCCCACATAGTATACACATTGGCCTTGAAGTTCTCCCTACATAGTCACTTTGAGCCGAAAGTATATACTATTTATTTGTGCACATGGACCCTCGGGGTAAGGCATCTTGGATATAGAGTTCTCGTGGGGTTTAGGGTCCTCAGGTCCTTGGGTTTCTAAGACCTTTTCGGGTTCAGCTGGGGCTCAGGGACCAAGATCTCCGTGGGTTTAGGGTTCAAGGTTTCTTGAGGTTCAGGGTCCTTGAGGACATTTTTTCTCGACTTCTGGGTGTCTGAATATCCCGAAGTAGCAAAGGACTAGAAGTAGCACATGAAGACAGCCACCAAATCCAAAATACTGAACCCCCAAACCCTAAACCCAACGGCTTGGTGTTCTTTCAGACTCTTTCATGTGCGAGGATCGTGCAGGTCAGGGGTTAAACGGGAGTAGTATACTGTTGTTAGGGACAGTTCAGGCCTCAGGTGGTGTGTAAGGTTCGTCACGGGATCTCCTACAAGTTTGATGAAAATACAGCACGGTTGAGGCTAGACGGGGATTTGATAGGCCGAAACCGCGAAGCTGCGAGAAGCCAGGGTCGAAACTCTGAGTCCCCAAACGCTTAGCACCTGAAGCCATTTGAGACTGCAAACTCGGAACCTCAACTGCAAACCCAAATCCAACGTCCGGTCCTTAATCCGAAAACAAAACGCCTGAACACCCACACCCTTAAGCCCAGAAGCCCCAAAAGTCTCATAACATAGAGGCCTTAGTGATTAGAATAGGGTTGTGGGGCCCATTGTACTATACTTATAACAGGGAGCCCCCAAAATAGTATAGGTAATCATTAAGGCCCCTATATTAGAATCCCCTATCTTACCGAGATGGGCCTCCTGTCGCTGCCGGCACTGAAACCTGGCAAAAACGTGTTGCTCTGCACATTTTAGGGTTTACCTGGACCCCGAAAGTATGTAGAATGGGCGCTGCGCCATTCTTCTGCGGATTGTTGCGGGGGTTTTAGGTCGTGCCTAGGGTTTGAGAATCAGGTGTTGAGGTCCAGGGTGTGGTTTAAGGTTTAAGGCTCAGGGTTTATAGTTGTATGCCCTTAGGATCCATGTACCCAAATACTATATACCTTGGCCTCAAAAGAATCCCTATACAGGTACATTGTGCCTAAAGTATATACTGTTTGGGTACATGGACCCTTAGGGTATATCTGTTGTTGAGAGGAGCCCGAAGGGGCGTGACGTGAAAACTTCGATTCAAGGTCAAGCGAGTACTTAAAGGATCATGGGACTTAGTAGCTATGGTTATGATTGGGGTAACTCATCTTATAACTACTTATAACCCCAATTAAGATACCTAAAACCTTACTTACTGAGCCCCATGATCCTCCAAGCAGGGCTTAGTTGCAGGTTCGGGGTCTTCTGAGGCTTCTAAAAATTCGTGTTGGGGGCTTGAGTTGAGCATGGAGATCAACATATAAACGATACTACAGTTATACCTGCAAAAAGCCTCAGAAATGAAGTCGCCGATTCTGAAGCCGCCCCCAACAAACTGTTGAACTTCTGACGATTCCAGCGTGAATCACCCACTGTAAGGGGCCTTGATACTTAGAATAGGGTTCTGGGGTATATCATACTGTAATTATAATACGGAGCTCCTAAAATAGTACAGGTAATTATTAAGGCCATTCTACTAAATCCTTACACGACCCCTTATAGTAATCCTTATAGACCCCCCTTTAAAGGAACCGCCAAAACAATAGTATAGATCGTTATTAAGGCCGTATGTCACCCACCCAGCCCACCCAGCCGGGCGCGGGTTTGGCGTTTAGGTCCCCTCGGACAACAAGGTCTTTGGCTCTTACTCTGAAGCCCAAACCCGACTATAGGGGCCAAAATACATACCAGTACTATTGTTTTTGAGGAGGGGCGGTGGGCGGGTCCTAAGTATAGTCTTTTTTCATGGCCCCCAAAACCGTATTCGAATTATTCGGGCCTTTGTATTACACCCTCTAAGTCTTGCCCTAAGCCCTACCGAACCCTGGCAGCCCTAGCCGGCTCCGAGCAAAAAAGAGTTCGGCGTTTCGGGAATCCCGCACCCTAACGGTTGATGATACAAATCCTGCATTACCCATAATAGGGAATATACCATAATTCCCATAGTTTAGGGTCCTTAAGGTCATGCAGGGTTTATATCATCAACCGAATCACTGAACCTTAACTTACTAACCCCTAAACCCTTAAGCGCTAAAATCACATCCCAGACACCCGTGGCCTTCGGAAGAGTGATGAGAAAGAGGCGTCGCCTTGAGGGCTGCAACAGGCTTAGGTAGAAAGGCTTCAGAGGGTTTGGGTTTTAGGGTTTATGGGTCTCGCCCTCTCTAAGCACCTAAACCCTACAATAATCATGTTAATCCCTCCTATAAAAGCAATCATGGAATCCCTACTTAATCCCACTACAGGAACCCGAAACCATTGGCCGCCCGCGCCCGGCGGCGGCCGGTACCACTGAACGCTACCGCTTCGAGATCTGCCTGCTTGGCCAAGCAGATCGAGTCTACCAGACCTGATTTGGCACTGCTAGCCATGGGGCACAATAGTAAAATTGGGTACCCTTATCTCCCAGCGCGAGAACCCTGGCGGGGACGGGACCTGGTAGAAAGAGCTTGACGAGCGACCCTGGCGGGTATGGCTGGCGACTCTGGCGGCGCCCGACCCTGGCGGGGACGGCGGACGACTCTGCTGTGACAGCAAAAGGGCCAAAAACAGCTTGGCAGACGACTCTGGAGGGGGACGGCGGACGACCCTGGTGGGGACGGCGGGCGACCCTGGCGGGGACGGCGGACGACTCTGACAGGGACTGAGAAAGCCAAAAACCAGCTTGGCTCTCCCAGCACGAGAACCCTGGCGGGGATTGACGAGCAACCCTGGCAGGGATGGAGCTGACGACCCTGGCGGGGACTTGGTGGACGGACGACTTTGGCGGGGACGGCGCGCGACCCTGGCGGGGACGGCGGGCAACCCTGGCGGGACGGCGGACGACTCTGCTGTGACAGCAACTAAAAAGGCCCAAAACCAGCACGGCGGACGACCCTGGTGGGGACGGCGGGCGACCCTGGCGGGGACGGCGGACGACTCTGGCGGACTCTGGAGGGGATGGCGGACGGGACGCTGTGACCCTGCGGGGACGGCGGACAACTCTGGTGGGGACTTGGCGATGACTTTGACAGGCACGAAAAGGCAGACGGACGACCCTGGCGGGGACGGCGGGCAACCCTAACGGGGACGGCGGACACTCTGGCGGGCATCTGGCTTTGACAACTAAAAAAACCAAAAAACAGCTTGGCAGACGATTCTGGAGGACGGCGGACGACCCTGGCGGGGACGGCGGGCGATCGTGGCGGGGACGGCGGACGACCCATGGCAAGGACGGCGTAAGGACCTTAGCGGGGACGGCGACCCTGACCAAGCGACCCTGGCAAAAACAGCGGAGTGACCCTGCGGGGACCCAGTGACGGGACGTCCTAGAAAGAGTGGCCGACTCTTGGAGTGCGAGTCTGGCGGCACGCTGGACAATTCTGGCACGGACTGCCGGGCGAAAAAACCCTGGCGGCCGACTGGATGATCAGCACTCTTGGCCGGACTGGCACGGACAGCGGACGGCTGCAGACCACTTCTGGAGGCCTGGCACTGGGCCCTGACGGACGAATCTGACGACGGCTGACGGACGACTCTGGCGGCCGGCCAGGACGAGCGAGGGCGTCGCTGCTATTTTGTGACTACATCACTCGGATGTCCCTTTGACGTTCCGCAACATTGCAACGTCTTTTCGGCGAGTGCAGCACTCGAATAAGAAGAAGCAGAACACAAAACCCGTTCTAGTCCTGGTTGGGGTGGTTGTGGGTGGGTTCCACGTTACGAAGACGGCGCGACCCACGACCACTCCATGGGTGGGGCGCGCCGTGGCGCTGTGACAAACCCTACACCCTAAACCCTAAACCCTACATCAAACGCAGACAAGGATCCTTCGAGGTGTCGTCCTCGAAGTTGTCGCTGTAATTGTCCTACGTACCATGGAGCATTTCAAGATCGGCCGGTTTAGGGTTTGTCTGGGTACAGCGGTTTGAGAATTTAGGGTCGATGCCGGAGCTTCTTTTTTGAATTCGGGTGTTGGATAGGGCGATCTGTCGGGAACCACCTGGGCCTACGATCCCCATGCCTTGGGAGAACCTGCAGAGCCTAAACCCTAAAGCCTACCTTAACCCTGAACAACCTACCTTTTAGGGTTCCTTATTATGATTTCCTTATCTAAGTCCTTAAAGATGTAGGTTCTTCCGGGTTAAGGTAAACCTTTTCCATTCTGCGTTGTTTGACGAGGCTCTAGTTTTGATTTGCGGTGTGGAGTTTAGGAAGCTCTTGGTGACTTAGCAAGTACGGCAAGTTACCCTAAGGCCCCAAAGTAGTTCCTTTTGGGGGTTCGTATATAGAATCCTATAAGGTAATCCCAAAAAGGAACTACTGTGGGGCCTCTGGGTAGCTACTGGGGTCACAAGTCCCCTTACATGTTGTCAGCCCAGTGTCCCGATCATACAGCTTGTGTCCAGATTTCAGACTGCCGGTTGACTGGGCTTTTAAGTAACCAGGGAGAAAAATTTAAAAAAATACACATTTCATAATGGTTCCCTTAAGAGAAAAAGTATTAAAGTATGGTACTCCAGAACCAAGTAGAGGAGACAACCCAGGAAGGCCAACCCGGATTGCACACACGCGTGTGCACACACAACCATGCACCTAAGGTCACGTGAAGTCGGGAAATCATCTCGTGGAACTCTCCACAAACCCAAAACGCCAAACTTCCGTGCCCCAAGCGAGGCCTCTGAATGTCAAGCTAAAATCCCAGCAGGAGTAGGTCGCGCAGTAACGCTGCTAAGCTGTTCCACGTACAACAGAGTTAAAGACTCATGTCCTCACAGTTTGAGGCCCACCGAATCCCTACACCAGAACCCTCGAACTTTGCACGGGTTGTTGGAAGAGAGGCAGTTGTAATTCTGCACGCTGCTGGCTCAGTGCTTGGGGGTCATTCTGTAGAGGGGCTTAGATGAGCCCGGCGAGTACGGTACCTGCAGTCTCCATCGTGGTTCCTGTTTAGGTTGAGCTTTGTGCCTAGGATCCCATAAGGTAAGCCAGAAAAGGAACTGCAACGGAGACTACCGGCAGGATTGAGAAGTATTTATGAAATCAGCAAAGTCAACAAGCAAATTTAGACCAAAACTTAGACAGATACCCGGATAACAGCGAACACGGGTCTCCAATTCTGAATTATTCTCATGCAAAGCAGTGGGGTCCTTCCTTCGGTGGTGCACGCTTCAGGTAAATTAGGGTTGACGGAGAATCGGTGCAGGCTTCGGGGATTCACAGGCCTAAACCCTAAACCCTATACCCCTAAACCCTGAATGATTGCTCTGGGTAGTTCGATTGAAGGGCGCCTCTTAAGAACCCCAGATCGAGCTTCAATGAACAGGTAAGTAGCTTGCAAAGGGGATTTTCCAAGCTGCCCCGATACCTACTTATGGCGTATGCTATTCCCTGAACCTGAACCCCAACCTCCGAGTCCTAGAGTCCTAAACCCTTGTGCGTAGAGCTCGTTTGCATTCCGCCGACCTCGTCTTCATGCACTGCGTGAGCTTGACGGCCTCAAGAAGCCGGTTGGGATTTAGAAAAGGGGCCTTAAGAACTAGAGCAGGGTTCCTTTAAACAGGGGTCCATAATGGCTACTATAAGGGCTACTATAAGGGCTATTTGTCAGGATTTAATGTAGGGACCTTAGTATTAGAATAGGGTTTTGGCGCCAATTCTAATATATTTATTAAAAAGGAACCCACAAATAGTATTGATAATTTTTTCGGCCCCTATAGTAGGGGGTTTCGGATGTTGGGGTTTACGGTATGTAATCTCAGGTATAATGTCGAGCAAGGTCGGGTTTCCATATTGGGAATATTTATTTTGATTTGGGGAAGTATCCTTGATTACAGTACCTACAACCATTTGGGTTCGTGCTTCCGGATTCGGGCCTGATGGGCTTTGTGGTTTCCGGGCGAGTCGATGGCACAGACGAGCACGTTGGGGTCAAGAACTCCGAGAAAATTCTGCTTCCTGAACTTTTGATAACAGCCTCACCCTTCAGGATTTGCCTAAGCAGCCTATCAATTCGCTTGAGGGTTTCGGGGACATGGTCACGGTTATGCACAGACCTAAGCAGGGGTATCATCTAGAATGGCCCGAATCAGATTGGCTGCAGTATGGCCTACTTGCTTGGTCCCCCGAGACATCGAGAAGCGTGTAGGGTGACACTTCGCCCTGGGGCTTTGGATTTCAGCGAAATTTACGGACTGTTGGGTTTTTGGACTGCGGTGATGAGAATTACAGAGAGCTACGGCGAAAACCGCCCTTTAGGATTTGGCATTCTGATGTAATCTCAGATAGTGTGTGGGGTCCCTCACTGTACTGAACTCTTGGATTGCGCCTGGTAATAGAGCAAGAGGCCAAGGAATGGTATTGACAATCACTGCGGCTTCTGTGATGTTTTGGTGATTGCCTGCCGGGTTATAAAGGGCTCTCCATGGGGAAAATGTCGTCCATGGTTCAGGCAGGGTAAGCATGAACGAGCACTGAAGACCTTGCCGCCGCTTTAGGTTTAGGGGTTTAGGGTTTAGGGTTTAGGTAGGAAACCTGTAACTTCAATATGTTACACTGTGGCCTGCACGTCCTTCACCGAAGCCACGACGGCGCACAACTCCACCTGGAGGGCTTCAGGAGAGCCAATGGTTATGCGAGCGTGTAGGTATGAATGTGCATGTGTGCATATGCGAACAGGAATATTCATAATGCATATTGTATATATATATATATATAAACACATACATACATGCATGTATGTTTGCATGCCTGGCGTCTGCGAGACATACTGGATACAGCTTTGTCGTTCCGTGTGCGCACATCGACAGAAAGCAGATTGGTTGAGGTTCGTTCACCCAGACATGATCTGTCTCTGCTACTGCGCGCATCAAAAGCCCTTGTAGCATACACTTCTGGCCAGAGTTGTTGAAGAACTTGATGTTTTCCGGGAGAATTGGTATCAAGTGTGGATAATCCCTTCCCCCTATTATTAACCCCCCCCTGATTGAACTATTAGTCTCCTGCCTCTGGAGTCACATACTTGAACATATCTTCCGAAGAAAGCCGAGTCCCCCCAACAACCCTTTATTATAGCCCCCAATTACCTCTTAATGAGAAATATTAGAGACCTTTAAAGGTGGAGAACCCGCCGCTTAAACCCTAAAGCCTGAACCCCAAACATCCCTAAACCCTAAACCCCCAAAACCCTAAACCCCCAAACATCCCTAAACCCTACACCCAAACATCCCTATACACTAAACTCCCAAGACCCTGCCTAAACCCCCGAACCCCCTAAACCCCAAACATCCCGAAACCCTAAACCCCCCCAAACACCCCCTCACCCCTCTTCCGCGGAGCCTCCCGAGGAGGAAGCAGGTGCAGGGGAAGCCGGCTGCGGCTCCCTTCCAGCTGTTGCACTGGGCTGCTACTTTTGGGGGGCCTTAATAACTAGCATATAGGTTCCTTTAAAGGATCACTTTTAAAGGGCTCCTGTAAGGGATACTATAAGGGCCATTATACGGATTTAGTGTAGCCTTAATGAGTAGAATATAGGGTTCCTTTACGGGAACTCTACGGATTCTCTAAGGCATTCTTTTAGGGAGCTTTAGGGTGTAGGGTAATTTCTGGTAGTTTCCGAAAATTAAGGGTACCTTATTTGGGGGTCCTTCTGATAAGGATCCTACTGTTTAGGGTACTATATTAGGGGCCCCTATTTTCGATCATTCCCATTTTGGGGGGCCGTAATAATTAGAATAGGGTTCCTTTAAAGGAAGCAGCTTCGGTTTTAGGGCCGCGGGCTCAAGAGGTTTTGGCCTCAGGGGGGAGGGCTTAAGGTTTGGGATTTTGGGTTCCAGAGGCGGTAGGATAACGGGATTGCTCGGGGTGGAATTCTTGGCAAATGTATCGAACTCTGCCACAACTTATATAACCTAATGAAGATGTAAGTTGGCATCTGCGCACGCATGGGTGATGAACTTTCCCCTGAAGCTTTACCCCTGAGAATTGCAAAACATCTCTCGTCACAACAGCTGCATCTTCGATGAACTAGTCAGTTCTTGTACTGCTACTGATGTGTTGTGCTCTACACAACCTACCCTCAGCTCCTCCTATGTCGTCTGGGATTGCATGTAATTAGTAGACAGGTTCGGGCCGAGAGTGTGTTGGGCTTTCAAGGCTGTGTCATATAGGGGCATTAATAATTAGACTAGGGTTTTGGGACCGCTTCTACGAGGAATATGATAAGGAATCCCCATAATCGTATGATTCGGTAATTGTTCAGGCCCCTATAGTACAGTAGAAGCCCAAAAGTCGGAAACCCCATAGCCTCAATCCTTAAAAGTAACGTTCAGGGAACCCCAGCGCTGTTTGGCCTTAATCCGGTTTCCAACTTTATGGGGTCTACTGCAACAGAACATTGGCAGCTTGGCGCACCCCTCGTCGAAGTCGTCCGAGTAAGCTTGCGAGTCCTCCGAATGAGATGGTAGCTCCGTCACGCTTCTCCGGAACCCAGTCTCGGCTGCTTAGACGTTTGCCGTTGTTGCTGCTGTTGTTGTTGGTGGCGGTGGTGGTGGCGCTGGTGGTGGTTGTGCTGGTGGCGGTGGCGGCGGTGGTGTTGTCGTAGGTGTTGCGGCTGTCGGAGTTGGTGTTGTTTCTTTTCTTGACCGGGCAGCGGGCTCGATGTACTCTGTTGCGCAAACAGCATTGCTGCATAATCCGACTGAGTGAAGTTTTGTGACTTCATTAAAACCGTGGTATGATCGGAAACCCACAGCACAGATACTTGCACATCGCATCGGCATGAGGGAAGAGAAGTCAACAGTCAAGATCAGGATGTTCAGGCATCGAAGTGCTGGGATTTGAAGGACAAGGACAGATCCAGGGGACACACACACACACACACTCCTGAAACTCAGAGGCTGAGCCCATCCCAGTTATCACTGCCAAGTTCATATCACGGACTGAACCCAACGGAACCCGGCATCCTAAACGCCCTCTGCTAACTGCTAACCATAAATAAGGTATGGTTTGTTGTATTGGTCGGCCATACTGAGCTCCCAAAACACACGCTCATCAAGATTTCCAACTGGACCAAAACTCCCAAACACACACCCACACACCCACACACCCACACACCCACACACCCACACACCCACACACACACACACACACACACACACACACCCGCACACACCCACACACAGACACACACACACACAGACACACACACAGACACACACACACACAGACACACACACACACACACAATCAAGATTTTCAACTGGCCCCCTCTACACTCACCAAGATCCCTGGCCATTCGAACATAAACCCCCTCCCCGTCATCTCGGAATTCTGAGGGTATCTAAGAAGTAGATCCCCTCAATGGGGACCCGGCCATGCCAAAGGGCACTTTATATGAATCCCTCAAGGGATGTACTTGTTGGAGCTTGCGGCAGTCTGGGATATGGGTTTAGAATATCAATGACTACGGTTGAGGCTCTTTTTTTGAGGGGGAGGTGGTTCACAACCCGGCAGGGTGCAGGGGTTTTGGTCGATTAGGTCCTCCGAATCGGTAGACATGTTCAGCATTGACGTCGACATGGCACACGGATACTTCGAGGGCAAACCCAGGCTGGCGGCTAAGATGTTGCTGCAAAGCGCTTCAAGGCGGGCCGTAAAGGCATACTCAGGGGTGCTGCTTTTGAGGGGGCTTCAAGGAGGGGTTTAGAGGAGAGATCCGTTGGGAAGCGTGAGACCCCTTGCAAGTTCCACTGTCAGAGTTCTTACCTGTAGTACTACCACACATAACACTACTGTTCATGTTGTCAAGACTGTGCCTGTGGCTATTACTATCACGGACATGTTTTGAGAGATTCATGACACAGAGCCTTTGGCTGTCGCACGTTGCAGGTCCGAGTTTGTACGGCGGTCTTACATCGCACAACCAACTGTAAACCCAAAACTAAACCTTAAACCACCTAAACCTGAAACCCCAAACCCTATTCTGATGTTCTATCGGGCATCTACAAAGGCTCCGGGCGCTTTCGCGCCTGCTGCGAGCCAAGAAGCAGCTTCCCTTTGAGGCTAAACCCTAAACCCACACCCTTTGGGCGCGATTTAGTGTGCACCCCTGGGTCCATGATTTCAGAACACCCATGTATAATGTAAAGACGCTAACAAGGTTTCCAGATCTCTATGTCAGGCTAACCGACCCCGAACGCGATCTTACGAAAATCGATGACCCAAACCGTAAACTCAGATCTAGGACTTCCCTCACAGAACGAAAAAAAAGCAAAAAGCCGTTGAACCCTGTGATCGCAGGTTCTACATGCCAATGCCAGTTGCGGAAACACTAGCAATAGAACTAGTAAGTGGCCGAATCTGCCAAAAGTTCCTTGAATCACATCCCCACGCTCCACCGCAGACAACTCACACCCCTAACCGCCTGCAACCCGAAACCCTAAACCCCTAAACCCGAAACCCTAAAACCCTAAACCCAACCCTAAACCCCTAAAACTCACACCCCAAGCCACAAGCCGATGATGCAAGTCACTGGCTGAAAGGAGCATCCTAACGCAAGGCTGACTACTTGGAGGGTCGGGGGACTTAGTAACTGGTTATTTTAGGGACTTATAAGTACCATAACCCCAATTAGGGTCCCTTTTAGGGTACTTATAAGTCTACTTACTACCTACTTACTAAGTCCCTGAACCCTAAACCCTAAACCCTATACTACCCTTATAGAGCCCTTTAAAGGAACCCTTAGAATCCCCTTTAAAGGAGCCCCTACTAAGTCCACCGACCCTCCAAGTCGGACCAGCCTCAAGGCGCCGAGGGTCTGAGATTTCCCTAAGGGTCCATGTGCCCAAATTGGGGTTCCTAGACCCAAGAGTAAAGTAGGAACAAAAAGGGTGCCCTTTTTGGTTTAAAGGGGGTTATATATAAGGGAACCGAAACCCTCAAAAAGGGAACAAGGCCCTACTCTGGGTCCTAGGTTCCCTTAAGGGTACCATAAGGGTTCCTCTGAAGGGATCTATAAGGGATCCATAAGGGTTTTAGTGTAAAAGGGTCCATGTACCCAAATAGTATATACTTTAGGCCCGATGTAGGGAGTACTTTGAGGCCAAGGTATATATTATTTGGGCACATGGACTGCTTGGGTTTCACAATCAGACTTGTTCGTACAGAGTTGACAGGAAACCGTCTTAACCCCCGACCGTAAACTGTAGAACCATGAGAGATGCGAAGGAGCCGGAGAAACCATGACTTCTAGCCTTTGAAACCCTAAGATTTAAGCAATTAAACCCTAAACCCTGAGTCTTAAATCTAAAATGCCGCCTCCCCGGCAAGCATCTGTTCAGCAACTCTGTCGGCGAGACCTCAGATTTCGGGTTGTGGAGTTTAGGGCTCGCGTCGGCTGACCCCAAGTCAAAACAGTCCAACCCTCAAAGACCAGATCCCTGAACCTCCGAACTTCTTGAACTTCTACAGGTGAAAGCAATCCAAAAACAAACACAAATAATCTTACTGCATCAGCCAGGACTCGGAGTGCCGCAAGGGACACAACGGCATCCTACCACTGTTTACGACTTCAGCAACTGTACATTCTACCGCGCTAGGCCTAGACGATGCATCGGGTATCTCTCGGGTTTAGACCTTCGCTTTTTTCCGGCTGTTCAGTTCAGCATTCCCGAAATCCGGAGCTAAGGGGTGCAGAGCTCACTGGTCGAAATCAGAGTAAACTGGGCTATCGCGTCCGTGCTGAATGTACGAACAGTCAGGGTCACAAACCACTGGCATCGGAAAGATGCACAGTTTGAGGGTTTGAGGGCACGCAACGCGATTTGGGGGTTTTCAGGTTTCGGTCCCTGCAAGGTTGGAAGTAGAACTAGAAGAGTACGACGGCCGACCTGAGCACTCACGGCTTAGGACACCACTGTGTCGTAGATACCATCCCAAAATCTGCCGCACAAACGCAAACTAAACCCTCACCGATCCTAAACCCTAAACCCCTTATATCCAAAACCCTACGCCAAAAACCTAAACCCCTAAATAAACCCCCAAACCCTGAAGCCCTAAACTAAACCCTAAACCCTGAAGCCTTTACCCCTAAACCCCAAGCCCAAAACCCTGAACCCGAAAACCTATAAACCCCAAGCCCAAAACTCTGAACCCTATAGTAGAAGCCATAAAGTTGGAATACCATAATCCTCTTGCCCTTGAGGTAAAGCAGAAGGGATCCTAGCACAAATCATCCTAAACCCTAAACCCTAAACCTTTCTGGGGCTCACTATGAGCCCTCCCAGGTCCGACTCCTCTGCGGCCTCCTTCTTATCCTCTTCATCATCTTCTGGCAGAGGTGAGCCCCTGGGATGCATCATAGGGTTCTGGTCGGCTTAACTCGGGTTTTTGTGCGGTTTAGGCCGGTTAGGATGAGGATTTGTAGGGTTTAGGCCGTGTGGCTCAGGATTTACAGGGTTGAGGCCGTTTAGGGGTAGGATTTATGGGGTGTAGGCTTCAGGCTAGGGATTTTTTCATGCAATACGCCTTTGATTCCAAACGCAGAAAGAGCGTCCAGGCATGGCGTTTTTAGGGCGTAGGGTTGCATCCGACTGGATTTCAGGTTGTACGGCTGGGAAACTGCTAGATGTTGCGTTCGCGGAAGGCTGTTGACTGCAAAGTGTCATACGTGCTCATGTTAACCTTTGCGCATGCATGTACATACAACCACATACGAGTGCACAGAACTGCACTTGCATGATGCATTTGCGCATATACATAATACATATATATATATATATGTATATATATATACATATATATATATATATATATATAGAAACAGATATAGATATAGATACAGATATAGATATATAGATAGGTAGACAGATAGATATAGATAGAGATGTGCATGTATGCATGGTTCTATGTGCACGCACGCACGGACGGAGGGAGGGATGGATGTCTGTATAGCCACATACACGCATGTCCGAAGCCCGTGGGGTGTGCGGTCTACTTAAAGGATCATGGGACTTAGTAAGGGTCCTTACAGGGCTCTTTAAAGGGATCTATAGGGTTTAGGGTTTAAGGCCTACTTCAAGGATCATGGGACTTAGTAACTAGGGTTATAATTAGGGTGACTCTCCTTAAAACTACTTATAACCCCAATTAAGGTACTTATAACCTTACTTACTAAGTCCCATGATCCTCCAAGTAGGGTCCAGGTAGCAGACATTCAAGATATATTTCACACTTCTGACACATCCGTACCTACCTGGCCGGAAGTATTACAGACCGTAATTGTGCGTCTGGTTGGGGAGAGCGTGCTCACTATGAGACCACCCACAGTGACCAGCCTCTGCAACTCATGGAACCGTGCTGCCGCATTGAGCAGCAAAGATACCTGTGAAGGGTTCTGCGAGGTCAGGATTCAGGGCTTTTAGGGCTTTGGAGTTTGGGTCACGATGCATTCGCAACAGGCTTCTGCTTAAAATGTTTGGGCCGAACGTGGAAGGGGCTTATGGGCACATGGACGTTCGAGATTGCGCAGCATTGGGATCTGCGAACCGAACGTATCTACCAAGCATCCAACGATGGCTTTCCGACCTTCTTGCTCTTAGAGCTCTTGGGCTTTCAGCCATCATGCAAGATTGAGCTGAACGGAACCCTAAAAAGCCAAACCGAAAGAAATTAGGGTCAAAGATCAGGCTTCGGCTGAGGGTCTTGCAATAGAACCGAACCATTATAGAGCTCTTGTGGATCTTTAATAGGAACCATACAACACCCCGTGTAGTAACCCAGCTCTAAACTCACGCTTCCTAGAACCCCCCAACTACCCTTTATTGTAGCCCCGAATTACCTCTTAATGAGAAATATCAGAGCCCTTTAAAGGGCAGTTGGGGGGTCTAGGTAAACCCTAAACCCTAATCATCCATAGGCCAGCAGAGTCTCAAGAGCTGACGACCGAAGTTGAAACGAAAGAGCTGCTATAGGTGGGAATGGGGCCTGCCGTAAGGGTCCACGTATCAGGGGATTGGGGGCTTAGGGTTGTAGGGGATTAAGGGTTTTAGGGGTTAGGGGTTTTAGGGTTTAGGGTTTTAGGAGTTGTTTGGGGTCCATGTACCCAAATAGTGTATACTTTGGGCCCGGCGAACCTATATAGGGAGTACTTTAAGGCCAATGTATATACCATGTGGGCATGTGGACCCTTAGGGTTACATTCCTTGGTTCTTGTCAAGGGATTTAATTTCAGTTGCCATAATAAGGATCTTCGGTACGTGATATGGATTCCTTATCATGGTAAGTTGAACTATGCAAAGTTCTTAACAAGAACCCAGATTCGGTAACACATAGCACAACAAGATTTTGTGACATAAACCGTCTTAGGGTTCTTGGCTTAGGGTCTTATGCTGGGATTGCAGGCGATAGCCGGGCTGCGAATGGGGCTCACTCTTGAATCTAGCACACGCTTCCCCAGAGAACCCAATATAACTTAAGCCAGATTCCTTAATTCAGGGGTATTGGGCTCTCTGGCTCCTGGGCGGCTATGCAAACTGAAATCTTACAGCTACGGGCTCCTTAATGTAGGGGCCTTAATAATTAGAAAAGGTTATGGGGCCATTATACTACAATTATAATCAGGAACCCCCAATATAGTATAGGTAATTATTAGGCCCTTTTATATTAAACTACCACATCTGGTTTTAGGAAAGTCTATATTCGGCTGTACAATACGTACTTGCAGAAAAGCAGCTTTTGGGAGCTTAAGGTTTTGATGAGGCACTAGACCTTGAGTTTGATGATTTGGGAGATGTACAGCCAGGTTTTTAGTGTTAATTTCAGCCTGGGCGCACTTGTTGGGACTTAGGGCCACCGTCCCCATCCAATCGGCATGTTTCCGCATAAACCTAAACCCCCTATAAGACACCATGAGCCCTATAAGTCCTAAACCGTAAAGCCTCACAAATCTAAACTCCAAACTTCAAGCCCGTAAGCCTTTCTCAAACCTACACACAATTAACCTAGACTAGAGCTCTGAACAATAATTCCCCCCCCACCCTTGGCAGACCGGATTCGAAATTTCTTTCCGGAACCGCGGCAAAGAGCCATGGCGATTCCGAGAACAAGGGCTCATACGATCCCAATGGCCCCCTGTACTCATCTAGTCTATACTCTTGCCTTCGTCAGGTTCCTGCCTGGCTACTTCAGAAACCCTAAACCCCAAACCCTAAACAAATTCTACGCAATGTGCCTACATGGACCCTTAGGGTTATGTAGGAATTGGGCCTCCGAGGCTTCTCTTCAACCCTACCCACAGGCTCCATAGTAGTTCCTTTTCGGGGTTACCTTTTAGGATTCTACATGTGAACCCCAAAAAAGGAACTAATTACTGTGGAGCCTCTAGGTACACCCTAAACCGACAATGAGACCGCCTTTTTGGGCGGGAGCTCCTGGCAGCTTTCTGCGCCACGGCGCAGCGTGCTTCGCACACCCTGCGGGAGGCTTCAATCCAAGAGGGTCCATATAGACTACTATTATGGAATTAGGTCCCGAAAGACCATCCTTAGTAATTATAGTTTTGCGGGCCTAATTCATAAGGACCCTCTGGGAATCAAAGCGACTTGGGGGAGTAAAGGAACTAGCAGACTCACTGGACTTCAGGGCTTAGTGCTGAAGGCTTCGGGCTCAGGGTTACGGGGTTGATGCTAGAAGGGTTACTTACGGTTGATGATATAAATCCTGCATTACCCGTAATAAGGAATATACCATGATTCCCATAGTCTAGGCCCTTAAGGTCATGCAGGATTTGCATCATCAGCCGTATGAATTGCAAAGATGCAAGCGTGTCTCCGGAGATACAAGGTCACATGCTGCTGGTGATCCAATATAGGGGCCACGATAATTAGAATAGGGTTTTGGTGAAGATTATACTATAACTTTAATCAGGAACCCCCAATAGAATGTAGGTAATTATAAGGCGCCTATAGTACTCCATTCCAGCCTGTGACAAATGTACCGCCAAACGATACCGTCACGTGTGTACAGTGCGGACGACTGGGTGGTCGGGTATTTGGACGGATGGAAGACGGACAGCAGCTACAGCCTGAACACAAGAGACATAGGACTCGAAAGAGCATGTAATCATGACAAGAGTAACGATAAGAGTACTAATAATCAAAACATGCTAATGATAATACTAGTAGTAATAAGAGAACAATGATACCAACAGCAGTTATGTTCAACCATGTGGACAATAATACAAATTATATGATGATACGAGTAATACCAAACAGCAACAAAAATCCTATACTGGAGCCAACATGTCCTTGCGAGACTCCGCACAGGCGTTCCTGTCTTGATACTACTCGTCTACTAGCCTACGTCTCTCTCAAAGAGCATGTCATTCAGAACTTCAGACTATACCAGTCAGTTACACAACGGGAACCTTGTCGCAACATCCACTGGATGTGCTGCGCAAATATCACAATGCCCACGAGCCTCATCAAGTATGTCCCTCTGCTTTGGAGGGGCTGGTGCAGCAACCTCATTGCAACAACAGATTGGAAGCAAGCTCATGGAAAGTGATCTACGGAGGCACATTCCTGCCTTGAGCAGTACTTGTTAAACAAGCCACAAGATGATGCAGCCACACACACCTGCCCTCCACCCCCCCAACTCCCATCCTTCGCTCGGCCCCCAACGAGTCTCGTTGCTAGATCAGCGGAGCCACGGGGACCCTGGCCACAATCTACTCCCATCACTTTCTCGTTGCGATGATGATGACGATGATGGTGATGGTGCTGAGGTGCTTTAGGATTTGGTCAAGGCGACGGAGATGATCACACTGAGTGGTGACGGCCGCGGTGGTGTAAGATGGCCCTAGTGTCAGTGAATAGCATGGTGGCGATCTGGCGAAGATAAACAGTGATGGGCAGAAGTATGATAATGCGGATGATGATGATGTTGTTGGTGATGATGAAGATTCAAGTAATGAAGCTGATGGCAGTGCTAGCGATGGCGCGGCCGATGCTGCAAACTTCTCCGTATGACCAGGTAGCCTGACCTGGCAGAACCCTACATAGTATGATTTCGTGCTACAAAAACCCATAAACAATGTTTCAAAGCGGGGTTTTCTGCTTTGAGTTTAGTTGAATAGGTTGCCGCCTTTGGGGTGTCTGGGACCGGTTCGTCCAAATGCTGAGTACAGCACGCCTTGTGCTGGGTTTGGGCTGGCATGCTGCCTTGTAATTAAGTACCTCAGTATAGTAAGCTAACACTTATATGGAGCTATCGTAGCCTGTGGAGTAGCCTTTACCGTTACCTAGCACATATAAAAATCCTTATGTGGTTTCTACTTGCCTTGGAGTCCGAACCTGATCGCCTCAAGTGGATTGGCGATGGGAACATGGACCGGCAAGAAGACACAGACAAGTAACATAGCGGCCTGAACGACTGGAATCGGAATCTGTGGATATGGGGACCATGAGATACTAATACTGGCTCTTCTGATCCATAAATTATCAGCACACGAAGACATGCGCCGCTTGGTGAGATGCATACCTCATGGTTCTCAACAACCTCCCTTAGCTGAGTAGATAAATGTAGAGAAACCACATTTCACCATCCAGGAATGCACTGCAGTTCCAAGATGCGTTTCTCCTACATGGCGTGCTCCAATTGGCGTACCCGCGGATTGTCCACCCACTCCGAACTAGATATCACATCGAAAATCGCAGGAAGCGTGGCAGCAAAGGGTACCTGAGCCATATCCCCGATAGCCGCTGTGAAGCTTGTAGGGGATGGAACATACTCGGTGATAGTGTACTCGTCGTACACAGTTCCGTCTCTGTTCGCATGGTGCATGCGGCCATAAGCTTGCCTGTACCACCTCTCCTCTTGCGCTGTTCCAGCAGCACCGAGGCAGTCGCGGCACCTAAGCATTTCGATTTTACCAGTGTTGCTGGCCTGTCATCGTAAATTGGGGGTAATTACCCGTTTTCGTCAACGAGGAGCTTGTCGCTCTTCAGCCCAAGCACAGAAATCTAAGATCTTCCTGCTTAACGTGGGTTTGCGGTTTAGAGTTTTAGGCTTTAGATGCTCGCTCCTTAGCGCATCTTCGAAGCTTTAGAAGCTCTGGTCCCAAAAGTTTAAGCTTTGTCTTACACCCAACTCTATCCTAAAGTGCAAACTCCACACACACTGAATCTTATACCCAGTCCTAACCTAGCCCTAAACCCTACAAACCCTAAACAAACACCCCAAAACCCCTAAACACCTAAACCCTGAAACCCTAAACCCTAAAACCAGACCCCTAAACCCCTAAACCCCTAAACCCCTACAAACCCTAAACCCCTAAAAACTACAAACCCTACACCCTACAAACCCTAAAAGGGGGTTAGGGATTAGGGGTTACCGGTTTAGGGTTTAGGGGTTTATGGGTTAGGGTTTAGGGTTTAGGGGTTTAGGGGTTAGGAGTTACGGGTTTAGGGGTTAGGGTTTTAGGCAAACCCTCCTCTGCATTCTGAACTCAACCTGCACGCTGAATCCTATAGAACTCTCAAGCCTAAACCTTGAAAGGCTACAAACCTGAGGAAAGCCTTTGCCCCGAGTGCAGCTGTCGCCAGGCCGACCCAGGCGTCCTAGGCGCATAATCTCTCGGTTGATCTCTGCGTACTACCGGTCCCGAGCGCTCCAGCTACCTAAATAGTGAGATACTGGGTTACATAGATAACATGAATGATACCTTACTGTTCAGGCACCTGCACATCTAGGTAGACTCTAGGGTGTGTCGGTTAAAGATGGTGATAGGTTCATGTGAGTTATCTAAACTTGTTTTGGATCTGCTTTGCGCGGTTCTTGCATTCACCGTCTAGGGGGGTCTCGGGTTTCCTGGACTCGTGACGGGACATTGGGCTTGGGTGCAGGCGGGAGTGCCCAGGTACAGTTGCTAAAGTTTAGGTTTGTTTAAGGTTCAAAGCACCCTAAAGATAAAGCCTAAACGGTCCAATGCACGCAACAAATGAGGTTATCAACCGTCCCAACCTCCCCCTCCCCTGATATGGGTGCCGGAGTAAATGAAAGAGGGTTGTGAGCTAGATATTGTGGTGCGCTTGTATATAAGAAGGAACACGACGGGATAGTACTTGTAGATATTCAAGCTTATTCTGTTTCAGTTGTTGGAGTTCGCCCTGCCACACTGTCATTTTGCTTGGAGTGTGCTTGGGGCTTTTGAGCTTGCAACTGGCTTGCCTTCAAGCAGGACGAGAGGTTTGCTAGTTCAAAGGCCTTGCCGCTCTGCTACCTGCAGCATTTAGGGTTTGCCACTGCCTCTCCGCTTCAACGTTCAATGTTGGTTCCGCCTTCAGTGGTTTCAACTGCATTAACAAAATGGTATTGTAAATGCACATAAGAATACCTATTCGTCGGGTATCATGGGGAACTAAGGGTTAACCGCTTTGGTTACATAGGGATTATGTAGGGACTATGCTACCCAAAAAAGGTAAAAGGTTACCTACTCCACTACTAGGAATGTCGACATACATATATACATACATACACTCGGATGCCCAGTAAGCTAGGAATAAAAGAGGACTCCCTTTTTGGTATTGGGTAACTTTATAAGGAACCTAGGACTACAAAAACGGAGCAAGGGTACTACAGGGAATCTTAGTACAAAACATGCCGCGGCGACAGAAACTGCGAAGACTCCTCTTTCGGACTGCGGGGCTTCCCTGAAAGTGCTGCAATCTTCGGAGCTCAAAGCTGGGAGATAGGGGATCCTAGTGATATGCCCTATTTCTGAAACTCTCAAATGATTTCGGGTGACTAAACTGAGCATGCAAGTCACAGGGGTTTATGCAAGAAGAGTACTGCTGCTCATTCAGACTCGAACACGAACCGGCCCCTCAAATATGAGTGTTGCAGGTTCTCGGGCTTAGACGTAGTGCAGCCCCAAAACCCTCATAAAAACCTTTGCGGTCCCGGGAATTGCAAAAAGGCTTTGGCTCTGCGGCTGTAAAGCTTAAGGTCTGAGGGTTTAGAGAAAACGCTACGGTTGATGACATAAATCCTGCATTACCCATAACGAGGAATATACCATAATTCCCACAGTTTGGGGTCCTTAAGGTGATGCAGGATTTATATCATCAACCCAAACCCTAAAACCCTATAGATCCCTTAAAGGAGCCTCTTAAAGGTACCCTTATAGCTCCCCTTAAGGTAATGCAGGATTTATATCATCAGCCGTAGGACCCAGGCCGCCTGAGGTCTGAGGCAGACGCTGTCATAGAATTCTGGGGCAAGCGTCCCCGCAAAGCCTGTAGGTCATCCTGGAGGCTGTCAGGATAGGGGGTTAGGATTCCATGACCCAAAGGCTCCATGTACCTTCATAGTAGACACTTAAGCCGTACAGGGGTCCCTACATGGGTACATTGGGCCCAAAGTATATACTATTTGGGTACGTGGACCCTTAGGCTGTCAGGATAGGGGTTACCCCAAGGGTCCAAAGGACCCAATAATTAGGTACTCGGTTTTAGGATAGTAGTTATGCAGGTTAGGACTTTGGAGAGTAATTATATGATTATTAGGTACTTGGACCCTTAGGGTTAGGATTCCATCACGGCATATCACAGCGTAAGACAACGGTTGACGGTTAGTCGCTTCGTACCAACGTCCTCGGCAGCCTTCTAGCAGTATCCATACAACAAGCGGAAGCCTACGGTGCCTTGTTCATCAAATTATGCGAAGCCCCTGCACCCCCTCCGTCCCCATGCTACAATTTGCCCTCGGTGTAAGCTTGCCGGGCAGGCTGCCAACCAAGCCAGGGCACCGCTGTCGTCCTGTGAGGTTTGGGTTTAAGGTGTAGAAGTGCCCTGTCTGCAGGGGTCTGGTCTAGGCCTCAGGTCAGGCTTAATGAAGCTTTCTGGCAGGTGCCAAAACGAAGACGAAAGCAACCAGTTATAAGTTTCAATCTCCTACAAGGGGAACAGATATCCTCTGTGGCTGCTGAATCGACACCAGGGAGCCTCTCCGGAAAATCAAATGGGGGCCGTAATAATGAGAATAGGGTTTTGGGGCCCATTATATTATAGTTATAATAATGCTCCGGCACCTTGTTCACGTGTAACAAAGAGGCCCCAAAATAGTATTGGCAATATATGAATGTGCGCAAAGCCGTGCGCCCAAACACCTATACGCCCCGCCTTCTAAATCACTGATCCTTGCACCTTCCCCGCGTTGCGTAAATAAGGGTGGATCCCCACACCCCAAAGAAGCAAAATGTGGGGTGAAGGGTTTCGGTTTAGGGTTTATCCCCAGCAACATAACATCATGGATCAACGCCAGGCAAACTCACCTCATCCAGCTCGCTGCTGGGCAATTCTGCAAGGCGTGCTGCGAAGTGAGCCCAAACGGGGCCCTCCACAGGAGTGGAGGGTAGACTGTTACTTGGGTCTCAGGCGGTTGCGAATTTTGGGTTAGGGGTTTAGAGTTCAGGGTACAAGGCTTTAGGATGATTAGGACTTGTTGAAATTTTAACGGGTTTGGCTTCCAGAAACATAGTACTCAGAACAAGGACCCTACTTGATGTAAATTTCAGGATTTGATCGGCATGAACAGAATATACTTCGTCGAGCAGGCAACAGAAAGCACGAGAGCACAGGCTTAGCCTAGGATTCAACATTTAGGGAAGAGGGTCTTGTTGCTTGTTCCAGGTAAACTGACTGTATTTTTTTGTTCGTGAGAGGCAAATCAGCAAGACCGTGCCAGAAACTCGGGGCACTTCATGCCCACCCTGCGGCAAGAAATAACCCAAAACCACAACCTCGAAACCTATATACACCTTAAACCCTGAACCCAACCCTCGTACCAGCTTTGAACCTCAAAAGAAAGCCGAAACCTGAATCCTTAGATACGATACCGACACCCAGCCTTAACCCTGATTTCCGTTCAGCGTAAGCTTATGGCCTCATGGCCTCTAGCAGTGGCTGGTGCTGCTCTGCTGGTCATGATGCCCTAAACCCCACCTTAACCCCGAGTAACCTTCCTTTTTAAGGACTTATATACGGAAATCATGATAAGGAGCCCTAAAAAGGTAGGTTATTCAGGGTTAAGGTAGATCCTAAAGCCTAAGCCCTCAACACTAAACCCTCCTCGGTCCTGAACCCTGAACCTTTCAGATGGTACCTGTAGTCTCCATTGTAATTCCCTTTTTTATATGTAGGATCCTATAAGGTAACCTCATAAAGGAACTACAATGAAGCATCCCATAAGGTAGCCACAAACATGAACTACAACGGAGACTACTTGGAGGATCATGGGACTTAGTAACTAGGGTTAAAATTAGGGTAACTCCACACATATCTACTTATAACCCCAATTAAGGTGCTTATAACCTTACTAACTAAGTCCCATGACCCTCCAAGTAATTAGACCCTAAAACCCTAAACCCTATAGATCCCTTTAAGGAACCCCCGATCCCTTGGAAGAACCCTTTAAGTATAGGTACTGCTGGAGCTGCTCTTCTGCCCGCCTCGCAGCCCGCCTTGCGCAGAGCACCGGAGGCCCGGCGAAGGGAATGGAGGGATGCCTCCAGGTTCCGGGATTTTAGGGTTTGTAGGGGTTTAGGGGTTTAGGGTTTGTAGGGGTTTAAGGGTTTAGGGTTTAGGGTTTGTAGGGGTTTAGGGGTTTAGGGTTTAGGGTTTGTGGGGGTTTAGGGTTTGTAGGGGTTTAGGGGTTTAAGGCTTAGGATTTTATAGGGTTTGTACGGGATTAAGGGTTTGTAGGGTTTGTAGGGTTTGTACGGGTTTAGGGGTTTAGGGTTTGTAGGGGTTTAGGGGTTTAGGGTTTCGGGGGGTTCGAACTGGGGACGGTTTCGGGTTCAGGATTTAGGGTTTGCAGCGGAGAGAGAGAGAGAGAGAGAGAGAGAGAGAGAGAGAGAGAGAGAGAGAGAGAGAGAGAGAGAGAGAGAGAGAGAGTGTGTCTATGTCAATGTCTATACATTATATATGTGCGTGCATGTTTGAACTTAGATATTTGCTCGTATAGATACGGACGCAGGCCACGTATGCTTATATATGCATACGGATTGAAGCGCATGGTTGCCGGGACGCTGGTTTGGGAACAGAGTTCCACTCTTGACTTGCAGCTATCATATGGGAGTTTCCGAAAATTAGGGGTAGCTTATCTAGGGGTCCTTATAATGAGGATCCTCCTATTTAGGGTATTATATTAGGGTCCCCTATTTTCGGAAACTCCCAAAATCTTGGTGCACATACTTATAGGGTTTAGGGTTTAGAGGCTATGAAAGCTGTCAGCCTCGAACGCCAGACTCTTCGGAATTAAAAACTTTGCTGCGTCGCTACCCTAAGGGTTCCAGCAAATTGGGGAACCTCAATACGGTTGATGATATAAATCCTGCATTACCTGAAGGACCCTATGGGAATTATGGTATATTCCTTATTATGGGTAATGCAGGATTTATATCATCTATTGAGGGTTTTTGCGACCCCAAAGAGACCCAAGGACTCTCCCTAGGACATTCCGGACACTCCTAAGGAGATATCTGGACCCTTTTGGTAATGACTTGAAGAGAAATCAGATCGGGAAGCTTCAACCCCATGAAATACGTATACACGACTAGGGCCCCCAAAAGAGCACAGAAGCATAAATTGGTATAGAGATGTCCCATATTACAATGAAGCCCAATAAGGTACGAATATCCCTATAGCATGCTTCTGCTTATGTGCTGCTTGGGTCCCAAAACGATATAGACTTGGGAGGGTCTAGATATCTGCCACGGGTCCCAGGATCTATAGGGGTTCCTTAAACGGGATCTATAGGGTTTAGGGTTTAGGGTCTACTTGGAGGATCATGGGCCTTAGTAAGTAAGGTTATAAGTACCTTCACTGGGGCTATAAGTAGATGTAAGTAGAGTTGCCCTAAGTATAACCCTAGTTACCAAGTCCAGTGATCCTTTAAGTAGAGTAAGAGCTGATGCCTCCACCTTTCCTGACATGGGTTACAGTAGACGCCAGAAAGTTGGAACATGGCTTTTGGGCGAATTAGTGCTAGGATCCCTTATGCTTTACCTTACGGGCATGAGGCCGAAACCCCCGACCATCGCACTCTTTTCGTGAGATCGGGCATGCAAAGGAATCAGTTCTAGTGGGGAGCGAGCCACAGGAAGAGCTGGCAGAAGACGAAGTATAGGCTCGACCTCCAAGAATTTAAGACTCTTTGGGGTCAGTTCTGCTAGAATGGAACCCTTGCTACGATTTCTACTCAGATCAACACTGCTGCAGTTGTTTGTTGCTTCTGGTATCCCCGAGTTGCAACGATGCGTTGTTTCAAGTCGCGGCAAGAGATTGCCTATGTTTCGTGCATACAACAGTCTGAATACAACATTCTTGGCCGCAAACCTGTAATAAAAGATGCTAAGCCGTGATCGCGAATTGTTTGGCCGTGGCTCGGGCAGCGTTTTCTGCTCTGGCTCTTCGGACATGCAGAGTGCAGAGATTGAGGCTGGCGTATTCAAACTCGCTGTACCACGAGTAGCTGGGGTAAACTCTGCCTGAAACTAGTCTGTCCACAATTGAATCGCGGCCTGCTGTCTCTACCCAATTTTGGCAAGCGCCACTTGAAAAGATCCCTCTGTACAGAGCCACTTCGCCGACCCGGCTTTGTTGAGAGTGTGTGTGTCTTGGGCGGTATGGAGTAGAGACTTAGATTCCAATTTTTGCAGAAACTCACATCATCCCATCACCACTATGATCATCGTCATCATCTCTTCATCGGTATCGAAGGTTGCAGGTGGGGTCGAATTGATTAAGGCCCTGATCTCTCATGTGCCATGTCTCAAAAAAACCCTCTTCTCTTATCAAAATCGCAGCTAGGAAGCTTAGGCCATTGAACCTTAACCCTTCTTGGGTTTGGGTTGGGGGTTACGGATTAGGGCATTGCACCATGCGAATGAAGCTGTGAGATTCTCCGAAGATACATAATGTTGGACGTGCGGCGATACCTTAAGCCCTAAGCCCTAAACCCTTAAACCCTAATCCCTGAACCCGAAACCTTCCACAGCACTTCGAACCACACACCCAAACCCTGAAAGGCTTTACAACATAAGGGCCTGGATGTATCGAGCCGGTGTGAAGGAAGGGGGGTGGGGTTATACCGTCCTATATATATATATATATATATATATATATATAAATATATATTTATTTATTTATTTATATATAACATAAACCATAGTTACACATGGATGGCTGGGGAGGGCATATCATACAATCATCACGCAGGGCTTATAAGGGCATGTTCTTGCTGATCATTCAGACCTCCGTATCAAGCTTTCTACCACAACGTCAACACTAACGAAGCGGCTGTAGACACAATTCTACAACCGGAACCAATGGGCCAAAGGGCTATGAGAATCGGGGTAGGGTTTAGGATTTATAAAGAGTTTAGAGTCCACTCCGTGCGTAATGCAGAAGCGGTCTATGAATGCCGACAGCCAGAACAAGGGCCGAATGCCCCTGGTCTAACATGTGTCACTATACCGACAGGCATGTATCCCAACGAGAACCCCAAAAGCACCTAGGTTGTACTCGCTAGGTGGAGGATGAGGGCAGTACTGGGCCATTAAACTTCAATCGTCGAAGCAAAGCTCAAATTATATACACAAAGCCATTACATTCCCATAACATGCTTAAACACCTCAAGCAAGAAAAGCAGAGTCGGGACGAAGGTGCGGCCGTGCCATATGCTCTGCAGCTCTTGCTGAGCACAGCTTCCACGAAGCAGGTCGAGAGCAATCTTGCCACTGGAGTTGTGTAGGGCT